TTCGATCTCGGCCAAGGGCACATGCCTGGGTTGCAGGCTCGATCCCCAGTAAGGGGTGTGCAGGAGGCAGCCGATCAATGATTCTTTCTCATCATTGATGTTTCTATCTCTCTCTCCTTCTCCCTTCCTCTCTGAAATCAATAAAGAAATATATTTAAAAAACAAAAAAAAAAAAGAAGAGGAATGTCCCCTCCCAAGTAGCCCAGGCAGAAACCTGCTCACTTAATAATGCCATTTTCCTACAGACTGTCATTCTCTGAATGAATAAATCCCTCGGTGGCCAAAAGCTTCTGAAGCTGTGTTAAACCCTTTTTTGTTGAAGTTTGTCATGGACCTTTCCATGTGAATTGCTCAGCTAGGGCACAGTGAGAGCCCCAATGCCTTTAAAGAACCATCTCTATGCAAACAGGAGGGCGCCGTGCCAATGGCAGCCAGCAAACCGGGCCAGCTGGCTCCTCATGGCCTCTCTGAGCCAGACAGGTTGCTTCAGCTCAGCTCGGTTCATAGGGAGGGATGGCCCTCGTGAGGCAGCGGTTGACCAATGTAATTAAGCGTAATTAGAGGGCTCCCGAGGAGCCGGTGGGGCTGGGCGGCTGCCCTCAGGAGAGCCACTTTCTGAAAGCCGCTGTGTGCCAGCACTAAACACCACCCTGCTGGAGTCCAGATGCCCCCTCAGCGAAGTGCCCATTACATTCTTCACAGCTGTCTGAAATACAAGCAGCCCACAAGAAAAGACGGGGGGAGAGAGTGGAATCTGGAAGCACCAGTATTCTTTTTAATTGACCAAAACAAAAGAAACCAAACCCGGTGTCAAGCTGCAGCGCTCCCTCCCCGGGACTCACCGCCCATCCGTGAATGATGAAGAAGGTTTTGGCTGTCATGTTGAAGCCACAGTCTTCCAGGGGCTGGTTGTGGCCGAGGGGGAGGTGGCATCCTTCATGCTCTGCGTCCTCAGAAGTGCGGAGGTTAAACCTCACGGAGGGTCTGGCAGGAATCTGCACATCCTTGGGTTCGTGGAGCTCATCTGGGGAGAAAGAACAGAGCCGGGTGCATCAAGGGGGCTTGAGTCATGACAGATCCGGGGTGCAGCTCTAGTACAACCTGGGGTCAATTATGTAATCCCTCCTGGTCTAAGTTTTTACCTCTGCTGAGTGTTTCCTCCTCACCTCCCAGAAGAAGTTGCCAAGATATTATAAAAGGGACATCTCGTCTATATTTCAGAGCACTTACTTAGTCACTGGTATTAATTACTGTGACTGAAATAAACAGGTCTCTCTTGCTTGTCTTCCTTCTTCCCTATCAAAAGAGTTCTCCTTCCTTCCCTCAAGGAACTGCTTTTAGATTATGGGTCCTCAATTCTTTTGCTGAAGTGCTTGGGACCAGTGGAGTTGCAGAATTCAGACATGTTCAGATTTTAGAAAGGCATTATGGTACATACACCATGTCTTATATAACACCTCCCGCAGGGTCTGGGGCATTCTCCATTCATCAAGCAACTAACATTTCTGCAGGGAAATGGCGTGACTACTCATACTTGAGGACAAAAAAAAAAAAATTACAAAATAGCCTCTGGTCAGTTCAGCTCAGTGTTGCTGCCAAGTGAGTTCAAGTCAGGTAAGGCCAGGTCTTGCAGCCAAACAAGTTACCAAACTTTCTAGTTGTGGGAGCTTTTGGAGTTTGAAATTGGAGGTAAGAAGCTGTCGACCTGTTATGCAATGGGCTTCTCCTAGTGTTCCCAACTCGATTCTAGCACTTCCTCCAAAAACCTCATGCATCCTCGATGCCCTTTGCCGAGCCAGGATGTGACAGGCATGCTTTTAGCTTGTTAAAGAAATGGCTGAGGCCACGGAGAAACTCCTAAGAGCAGAAAAACCACTCTCCAGTTCCCCTGCTCACACACACTGCCATGAAGGAGATGACCCTGCGCCCAGAACACAGCTGATGTCACCGATGGCCCTGATGGCCTTTACACACTGGGTGCTGTCGTCACCACACTGTTTCAGCCATCCAGGAAATCTTCCCTTGAGATCGGGCTAAGAAATTAGAAAATCAAGCTCTCTTGTCACTCAGAAATCAGGGGGAAAGATACCAAAGGACCATCCCAGGAGCCTCGTTTATCCCAGAGTCAGGAAGCAAATGGAACCATGGACAGAAGGACCAGAATCGGGGAGAGGGGGTGGTGAATGGGGCGGGGCGGGGTAGGGGGCAGAGAATGCAACAGATGTAAAAAAGGACAGGGTTCCAGAAAATGCAGCTCAATACACATGAGCAGAGCTTTGTAATTAATGAACAAAGACCCAGCCGGCAGAAATCTGAGCCATGGACATAAGTAGTTTGACACCTCCTCAATTTCCACCCAGATAACCACTCACACAAAGACCAGATGGGGAATTCTAGGAGAAAGGGTAAAGGGGTCTGCTGGCTTCCTGGAAGAGATTGGTGAATAAACCCGCACAGCTCGCCTCTGCAGCTGCTTCTCTGCCCCCAGACTTCTCGAGCTTTCGCCTGGGTCACGTCAACCTCTGGGACTTCATGGTTGCTCTTCACCCACATGTCCTCATGGCTCATTCTCTCACCTCCTTCCGTTCCTTGCGCTCAACTCTCAAAGAGGGAAGCCTGAGCACAGGTTAAAACGGCACCACCTTCTCCCACCAGCACTCCGTACCTTCCATAACACTGAGCACTGTTTGCATATTTTAACACATTGGGGACGGATCACGAGGATTTGCCAGCTTTGCTTAGTTCCACTTCGTATTACACAGTGTTTTACAAAGTCTCATGCTTTAAAAAGATATTAGCTTGTAAGAACATGTAATAAATAACTTCAAAATGCAATGGGTATTTAATTTTAAAGCGTGCCTTTATCATTCATGTAAAACATTTTTTCTGTACTCGTTCAATAGAAACTTACCTGGCCACTGGGCAAAGCCAGCAATAAAACTACTGATCCTGCAATGTGTTAATTAGATTCCTGTCTGTCTTCTCACCACGGAAACGTAAGCCCCACGAGGGCGGGGTTTTCCCTGCTCCTAGAAGAATGCCTGGCACTAAGCAGACATGTACTAACTGCTTTTCTGGGTGAATGAAATGGCCCAAAATGCTCACAATCGCAGAACGCGGAAGTTGGAAGGAATATTAACATTCCACAGGCGGGGAGCTAGTCACACTCTTACTTAGCACTAGAGTTGGGGACATGTTAAGGAAAGCAAGGCTTCCCCATTCATTCATTCATTCATTCATTCAAATTTACCCTCCCACCAGTACATAAGCTGACATGGACCAACCTCGTTTGACCAACCTCAGCAAATAGTAGAGGAAATAACGGGGTGCAGTTTAGGGGTTCCCCTGGCACTCCCGCTGGGTGACCCTCCCCTCATTCCTTCTGCCAGTGGGAGAGGCTGCCATGCAGAACTCAGAAGGAAGAAAAGCTGGCAGCTAGGAGGAGAATGAGAGGGGGTTGGAAGGAGGGTTGGGAGGAGGAAGCTGGCAATCTAGGGGAAGAAGTCACTCATCAAATGCTCCAGCCGCCTCACCTTCAAACACCTACAGGGTTGGATTAAAAGGAGGAGGGGCGCCAGGTGAGGGAGCACCTGCTAAGCCTCTTGGCTAGCAAACCTCCAGGTTCAAAGATGAGAACAAGGTTGAAGAGCTGCTGGCAGCCAGTTGGGCTGACTGGACAGCACCCATCCATCGAATGGAAGGGGCGGGGCTAGAGCCAGAGGACAAGGGCACCCGCCAGCCTACAGCCTTTCGGAGGTCCCGCTGGCGATGCCCCGGTCAGAAGCGCCAGGAAACAGGTGAACGGCAAGGCTAAGTAGGAGGAGCAAAGGGATCGCGCGGCATAAAAGGGCTCCCCAGGACCGGGAGGGATGGAAGGAGGGTGTGCAGGACAAAGGGACCCGGCCCGGAAAAGAAGCTGGAGCTAATAAAAAATCAGAGCACGTTACCTTGCGGCGGCCCCTCTGGACCAAGGGGCGCGGGGCCTCCCGCGGCAAAGCAACAACAGGCGTTCCAGAGGCAGAGCAGAAGGACGGGGCTCCTCATCCTTTCCCGCCACACACCCTTCCGCGAAGCAGGACTTTAACAGGACAAAACCAACAAAACAACAAAAAAACACCTCTTTGCGGTTTCCAGCAGCCCGAGCCTGCAAGACCCTTAGCGGGCACCTTCCCTCCAGCAGCGAGTGGTGTGGCCTTAGACAGCTGGAGGGGGCGAAGGTGGAAAGTGGAAACTTGGCTAAACTGAGCGGCGGGGCGTTGGAGGGAGTGTGAAGGGGCTTAAACAAGGACCGGATTTGCCCTCATCCGCGCCTCCCGCCGGGGAAGTCCGGGCTCGCCACTGTCACCCAGCGAACTCCGGGCGAGGTAGGTTTTTAAAAAGTATGGGAGTCATCTGACCCATCGCCAGATGGTGATTTGCATAATTTATTCCCGTCTTAGGACTCTGATTGGTCACACCTTCTCAGACGCCGGAACGGAGACTCCCAAAGTTTGAATGAAGGAGCCACACACTCACCACGTGGACGCTCCCACCCGCAGCCTGGCGTTCTCTCCCTCACCTGCCGCCTCCTGCCACCCCACTTTCTCCTAGTGCCCGTTCCCGGACCCCAGATTCTTCGCTCTCCTCTGCCGCCCCAGGGGGGACATGGCCCGACACCCTGCGCCTGCTGGGGACGCGACCCCTGGGGAAGGAGAGCTATCCTCTCCAAGGTGCACAGCTACCTCCGCGCACGGAATGGTCTCCACGCCGCAGGCCAGGGGGCCGGCTGGGGGAGAGCCACCTGGTAACCTCGGGTACTTGTCTTCCTTCACTCCCACCCTCCCACCCAGAGAGGCCCGCGCAGGTGCAGGCAGCGTGGAGGACAAGGATCGACCAGAGCCGAGGCTCTGCAGCTAGTTCTGCAAAACCCGGCGCAAGTCTCCAAAGCCGTGCCCTTCTCCCCAGGACCCGCGGTAACAGTACCTGCCGCTCGGGGATGTTGGGGAAAACGAAAAGCGATCATGTCGGCGCTTGGTGCAGAGCCTGCCACGTGCTCCGTGCCCTCGGACCTCGGGGGTGCAGGACGGTAGGGATCCTAGCGACTCTCCCCGCAGAGAACAGAGAACTGAGCTTGGGCGTCTCGGACGCGTGACCAGCGCCGAGTCGGAGTCTCCGCAGAGGCGCGCAACCACCTGTTGAGTGCAATGATGCAGCTTCTTCCTCGCGTCCTGTTTCCTGCCTCTCCTCCGCTTTATTGTTCAGCGTCCCTGTTCCTCCCTCGGGTCTCCTCCCAGCGTCTCCGCCTGCGGGTCTCCGGGGCGGACAAGTCCACGTCTGCCGCCGGGGAGCCTCGGGGTCCCGCAGGGCGACGACCCGGCCACGGGAGGACGGCTGCGCCCCGACAGCCCTTGGGGACGCCGAGGAACGCTCCGCTGCGCCCTTGCCAAGCCTGAGCTCGCCTGCCCGGCAGTGCGAGCACCCGCTCCGCGAGTGCCGGTCCCCCTCCTCGAGTGCCGGTCCCCCTCCACCAAGGGCAGAAAAGCGCTCCGGCAGCCCCGCGCCCCCGCTTCCCTGGTGTCTGGGCCCCAGCCAGGACGATCTGCGTGGGGAAACCGGTTCGGGGGAGCAGGTCCTGTTCCGACCTTACTCTCGTTCTCCAGCCGGCCAGTGCGCTTTGTCCCTCCGGCGTGCTATAATTCACTAGCAAGCGGTAGGTCGGCTGGCGTAATATTTCTTAGGGTAAAACTCAATCCACTTTATGGGATGGTGAATGTCACCGCCAGATTTGTTGCTTCCGTCCTCCTTCCCCTTCCCTCCCTCCCCACCCCACCCCCGCCCCACCCCCTCTCCTTCCTTATCGGCAAACTACAAGATGTAAGTCAGGTGGTATCTACATTTTACAAATGGGAAAGCAGTCGTGGGGCCAGGCTGCAGGTTTGAAGGAATTCTTAACCATCAGGTCTCTCTCTCTTCTGCTCTAGGTTTATGTGGCCAGTGCGCCTCTAAATACGAGCCCTTCGGTACTGTCTCCATCTCATCAGTAGCTGAGGCCGTGGGGAACCTGTGAGTCAAAAATTTCCTCCTCTGTCAGGAGTTGCTCAAAGCCATAGTATAATCCCCAGAACCTTAACTAGACATTGCCGTGTGTGTGTGTGTGTGGGGGGGGGGGGGTTGACAGGTTGACAGGGGTCAGTGCTATCCCCTGGGGAGCTAGGTATTGACCAAGGGAGAAACCTGAAACCTGAGCATGTGCCCTGACAAGGGGAACCTTTAGATGCGTGGGGGGCGGGGGAGCCACTCAACCAACTGACCACACCGGCCAGGGCTCAGCACCCATTTTTTTACTGCCAAGTTTATGAAACCATTAAGTTGTTGCTGGTTGGTTGGAGTGCCCTCCTGTGTCTCTACATTAAAATACCATGTGAGAACGTTCCAAGAACATAATGAAATTGCACTTGCTGCATCAGAGTTATGCATGACGTGAACTGCTTGTTAGGCATCATACTTTCCAGAAGAACCACCGGGAGATCTGGGGAGCCTCCTGGTGGAGGAAGTCCCTGCCAGGAGTTTCTGCAGAAACTTATGTTTGTGTTGCAGTCAAAATTTCAGGGTCTCAGGCTACTCTAGCAGAGGACTCTGGTCATTCTTTCTGGCTGAGCAGCATCTGAAGACCCCTTCCTATGTTAGAGGAGCCCAGCTCCCACCATAGAAGCTAAAAAGCAAACATATATCTTTCCAGCCTCCCTTGCAGCTAGAATGCCCCCATTTAAACTCAGCAAACCAAACCCTGAACTGGAAGCACTCCACTTTGCCCAGGGGGCAGTGCAGCGGTAGCCAGTGGGCTCTCTAAGCTGCAGTGGGGTCACTACCAGATCAGTTTGCCTGAGTATCTGCTGAGCCTGGTTCTTCTGGCCTGCAGAGATTGTGGTTGCTACCCATTAGCATTCCAATGAGTTCCTCTTCTGCATAAAGGAGCCAGAGACTGTATTGTTGACAACTAAGACGACTTAATCACTAGATGCTGATGGAGCAACTGCTAGGGGTAAAACCACTGGGCTGAGCCCCCCTGGGTGGGTGGAACCACCCTCCTTCTCTCTATCGGACTTCCTGCCGCACTGGCCTTGTCTTCAGTTTCTCTATCCGCGCTAATACAGTCCCCACAAGCTAGCTGTGGCTCTCAGCACTTGAGATGTGGCTAGTCTGAAATGAGATGTGCTCTGAGTGTAAAAGACTTTACACCAGATTGCAAAGACTAGAACAAAAAAATATGTAAAATACTGCATTCATAATTGTTATGTTGATTAAATGTTGAAATGACAATGTTTTGGATATCCTAAGAATTAAGTAACATATAATGCTAAAATTAATTTCACCTTTCTCTTTTTATAATGTGGTTGCTAGAGAAATGTAAATTACATACATGACTCATATTATATTTCTACTGGACATTCTAAAGCCCCAAGATTTGGCCTTTGACCTAGTTAATGCTAACTCTTATCCAACTTCAGCTATTTGCTTGTGTCCCATCTTCAGGGAAACTTTCCCTGACCCCTGGCCTAGGATTCCTATGTTGACATAAGAAACATCCAAACCTGCAGAGAATTTTTATAAGAATTTATTTGAGGACAACATATGCTGGGTCACAAGATTTCAAATGCTCCTGACAATAACAATTTGCAGTTTATTTATGTAGTTGAGATTAAGGAGGGAATGTAAGGAAGATTATTTAGTTGGGAGAAGTCTAAGTGGGGATTGGCTCAGTGGATAGAGCATTGGCCTGAGGCCAAAGGGTCCCAGGTTTGATTCCAGTCAAGGGCATGTACCTTGGTTGCAGTTTCCTCCCCAGCCTGGGCCCTGGTCAGGGCTCATGTAGGAGGCAACCAATCAGTGTGTTTCTCTCACATCGATGTTTCTCTCTTTCCTCTTTCTCTCTTCCACTCCCCCCCCCCCCCCAAAAAAAGGAGAGCTCTGGAAGAGGATATTTCAAGGGTGTGTTATCCTAGATGCACAGAATCAGTGGACAGCACTTGCTTAAAGCAAAGATAATAAACTTGACTAAAGAAGCTATATGCCTGGGGCGTGACTGTTTACCATCACCTGCCCTGTTAGGAATTCATGATCAGATCACCCTGTGAGATTACATTCCTTAGAACTTCTTCTTTGTCCACACCTATAAGCATATTCCTTTCTTTTATAGTAGGGGCCCAGTGCACAAATTCATGCACCTTGAAAGGAACTGAGGGCTGCAAGGCTGCGGTGGGCACAGGGGCAGGTCTTGGCCCATCCTCCGCAACCCTGCCCAGCCCCTCCCACTTCGGCCCCCAGTCCCCTGTCTGCTGGCAGCCCCACTCCCACAGCCACCGCTAGCCCCGCTTGCACCCACTGACAGCACAAAGCAATTGGAGCCAGTGCCAGCAGCAGGTGCGAGTGACAGTTGCTACCCCAATCGCCCCTCAGGAGCAGGGGGAGGTGGAGAAGCCCTCAGGGGCGATCGGGACTGGAAGCCACTGCTCACACCCGCTGACGGGCCGAGCAATCGAGACCAGCTCTGGGCGCTGGCAGGGGGTGCGAGTGGGGCTGGCGCTGGCAGCAGGTGCGAGCGTCAGACAGGACCACGGCACGTGGGAGCAAAGAATTTTCAGTAACCACCAGAGGTTCTCCCCAATGACAGTGACTGGCACCCTGCCTTGGACTGGCACCTCCGCTCACCTACTCCACCATCCCACCGTGGCCAATGCCCCCCATGTTCCGCATGCACCCCTGATGGTCAGTGCATGTCATAGCAACCGGTTGTTCAGTTCTTCCGCCGTTTGGTCTATTTGCATATTAGGGCTATATATATATATATATATATATATATATATATATATATATATACTAGTGGCCCGGTACATGAAATTCGTGCACGGGAGGGGGGTGTCCCTCAGCCTGGCCTGCACCCTCTCCAATCTGGGACCCCTCAGGTGATGTCCAACTGCTGGCTTAGGCCCGATCCCCATGGGCCTAAGCAGTTGGACCGGCAGTTGGACATCCCTCTCGCAATCCGAGACCACTGGCTCCTAACTGCTCACCTGCCTGCCTGCCTGATAGCCCCTAACCACTCTGCCTGCTGGCCTGCTCACCTCCAGCTGCCCCCTGCCCCAATGGTCTGATCTCCCCCAACTGCCACCCCCGCCAGCCTGATTGCCCCCAACTGCCCCCCTGCTGTCCTGATCGCCCCCAACTGCCCCCCCCCACCGGCTTGCTCACCCCCAACTGCCCTCCCCTCCTCACCTGATCACCCTAACCGCCTCTGCCTCACCACCATGGCTTTGTCCAGAAGGACATCTGGAAGGTCTCCCTTTTATTACCCTTTTATTAGTATAGATATAGATAATTTACCTGGGTCTTTAATTAGGCATTATTTGTTTGGCTATTTGCTTAATGTTCAAACATTAATGTTCTCCCAGTTAGAGTTACGTACCCATGAAAGCAGCAACTGGGCTTTTTTTGTTGTTCATTATTCTCCCGGAACCTGGCCTAGAGCCTAGCACATAGAAAGAGCTCATTAAATATTTGTTGAATGATTACATAAATGAAGTGTGTTACGAATCTCCAAGAAGAGGACAAAGTAGTCAACTTTTGCTAAATTGATTTGACCACAGAACTCTTGTCCCACAAAGGGCTTAGTGAAGAATTATAATCTCTGGGAACACAGTTTGGGAAGCACTGGCTTAGGGGCTGTAACTACAGACGAAGTGTATTGAACCTCAGTTTAAATCTTCATTTGCAGTATGACCTCAGCTCTCCTATATGCTGAAGGTATAGGTAGGCTTGTTGGGGGGCGGGGCTGGATGTTGTTGTTCTTTAGCTTGTTTCCCTTCCTCTGCAAATCACAAACTCTGTTCCTTAAACTCTTCCATTTAGTAAACATCTAAAAGAAGCTGAATAATTCTCCTTTAATAAAGAGGATTTCATGAAAATTTGTACGTGCAGTTAATGCATGATAGTAATTTTTCTCCTGCATCTGTACAGGCCCGAAGCAGGTGAAATAGTGGGTTTAACAAGGGATTGGGGTAGTTGAAAGGAATTTACCTGAGAGACCAGCCAGGCCTGGCACATTTCTTTTGGGAGAGGTAGTGCGTGGTTATCAATTGACCCAGAGCATGAGACCCAGGGAAAGGCTGTCAAGTCCCACTCACACACACACACACACACACACCCCCCAAAAAAAATAAGTGGCTCAGCTGAAATATCCTTTTAATTCACTTTGTTAATAATCTTCTCCAACTAGCCCTACACACAAAGGCGAAGTGATTACTGTATGACAGCCTAGAACTTCGGGATTCTGAGCAGGGCTGGAGCTCAGCACCTCCCAGGGCGAGGGGGCCAGGAGGGCAGCCAACTCTGAGGAGCAACACAGCAGAGCGAAACAGGCAGCTTGGCCTGCTGGGGCCCTTTCTCTCACCCGTCATGTCTACACAAAGGAACAGAGGAAAGAAGGGTGAGGCAAAGGGGCTCATTGCCACACCGAGGGGCATTTAAAGTGTTTCCAATGACAGACTGGAAGACTAGGTCGCCAGAATAAGTTCATTTTTTAATGCTCTGGGCATTTCCAAAGCTCAGTGGGGGTTGGGGAGGGGGGGAGGGTGACATTTAAACCTGATTGTGAAAGGTCCATTTTCTAGCACAATATGTTACAAAGAACTGACCCCAGAATCTCTAAATAGACCAGTAACCACAAGATTGATAGCAACCAGCTAGTCGATCCACACAGACCCCGAAGTGCCAAATGTATATGGTTCACCAGGTAAATTCTCTAGACTATCAAATCCTTGTTTGCTGAGCTGATCAGCTATTTCATTTACCACACACTTGGGCTAATTAGTGATATTCCTCCTTGAGGACAAGACTCTTGTCTTGCCCTAGTCGGTTTGGCTCAGTGGATAGAGTGTCGGCCCGCGGACTGAAAGGTCCCAGGTTCGATTCCGGTCAAGGGCACATGCCTGTGTTGCGGGCTCGATCCCCAATAGGGGGTGTGCAGGAGGCAGCCAATCAGTGATTCTCTCTCATAATTGATGTTTCTATCTCTCTCTCCCTCTCCCTTCCTCTCTGAAATCAACTGAAAAACAAAAACAAAAAACCAGACTCTTGTCTTATATGTCATGTTTATTTTCAACAGCCAGTATTTTGCCTGGTCCAAAGCAATTACGTAGTCAAATATTTGTGGAATGTGAATGAACTATCTCTCATATGTCAAGATCCAATTCTGTCAAGCGATCTCTAACTACCCGAAGAAGTCAGATGCTTTCCCCTTTATGTTCTTAAATTCCTCTCTATGTACTTAAATTAATTATCAACTCCGATCTATTTCTCCTTATAGGCTGTGAACAAGGAGCTCTCTCAGCTTTCATCTTCCTACCTGCAACCACTGTCGTAGGTATCTAGCAGAAGTTAAATATTTGTTGAGTAAATGAAGTGAATATTCCTTAAAAGTAAAAATGGGGTCGGGGGCAATCAAGCATAGTATACCTTGCTCATTTCTTATTTATTTCTCCATCTTTACTAAAAAATAAAACCTTTGTTTAAATCTAATTTTTACCTATTTTTGTAACTACACCTACACAGCAGATCATAGATGAAACACATAAACACATGTGTGTACACACACACACACACACACACACAAAGTTTGTTACATTAAATTAATGACCAGCAATCTCAAGTGGTCTTTTAATTCTGTTGAGTAATCAACTGTATTTCCCAGACCACTTATTCCTCCTACTCCTTCTCCTGGACAGCTCTCTACGCCTTCTCCTCTCCTCTCAGAACTCTGACATCGCTCTCCCATCACTCACAGCTGACGGCCTGATTTCTACTTTACTGGGAAAATAAAACCGATTAGAAGAGCCTTGGCTCAGTGGTTGAGCATCGACCTGTGAACCAGGAGGTCACGGTTCCATTCCCGGCCAGGGCACATGCCTGGGTTGCAGGCTCGATCCCCAGTACAGGTTGTGCAGGAGACAGCCAATTAATGGTTCTCTCTCATCATTGATGTTTCTCTCTCTCCCTCTCCCTTCCTTTCTGAAATCAATAGAAATATACATTTTAAATCAATCAGAAGAGAACATCCACAGGCCCATCCACCTACTTGTCTGTACCCAAGTCCTTGGTCTCCCTTCCAGGTACTAAGCATGAGCTGTACCCACCCCTCCCCCTCCATACACACACACACACACACACACACACACACTCCAGATTCCATCCCCTCTCACACACAGACATCACTCCAAAATTTCTCCCTCTCTTTTGGATCATTTCTATTAGCAGACAAACACAAGTTATGGTCTCAGCATCTTTAAAAATTCCACTGCCTCCATTTCCCTCTCCAGACTCACCTTATATCTCTGCCGCCAGTTACTAGAGCTGTTGCAACCCCAGCTGACGTGAGCAGGAAAGAATGGAGTGCGTCCTGCCAAGAGATACTGGACAGTGGCCTCCACTTTCTCTTCCCTGGTTGGTCAAGTCTCCTTATCTGCACAGTTGGGATAATGAAACCCTTAGGAAAATGTCTTTGAAGTCCTCAGAGGACACTCCACATGGGAATGACTGCTGTCATCTTGACCTTTACTCCTGAGCGGACTCTCAGTGGGAAAAAGGAGGAATATTCTCGGGGCTTCAGACCTGGATAGATTCACAAACAGGGCGAAGTTCAAGGGTATTTCCTCCACTGGGTTCTGCAATGACCACACTTAATATCCTCTGAGAGATACAGACTCTTTACTTCTGAGATCTTAAATCCTACGCAGAAGACCCCCATCCAATGGTGGGATCCCCTCCAGTGTCCTGGGTAGGATTCATCCTGCCACGGATGCTGGTTGAACCCAGGTCATAAAGGGAACTGGCCACTTCAGGAGGCAGCCAGCTCCTTCTATTCAGGTCACTGTAAATGCTAGAAGTCCTTTATTTGAGATTAAATCTAATCCTGATAATTCCCAAGATTGATTTTAGTTCCGCCTACACCTCATACATATAGTGACCCAAGTTCCAGAAGACTGTCAATAGGAGTCCCACCTCTGAGTCTTCTCTGATCTGAGTCAAACACCCCCAGTGTAACAAAATGGCTATGAGCTTCGACTTCAACAGGCCATGTTTAAAATTCCTTCTCTACCGCTTTCTACCTAAGTGCCCTGCGCAAGTTACTCAATATGCCCACCTTCCTTTTCCTCACCTACATAATGAAAACAGAAATGCTGCCCAACTGGTGTGGCTCAGTGGTTGAACGTCGACATATATGAACCAGGAGGTCATGGTTCAGTTCCCAGTCAGGGCACGTGCCCGGGTTGCACGCTCAATCCCCAGTGGGGGACGTGCACGAGGCAGCTGATCAATGATTCTCATCAGTGATGTTTCTATCTCTCGCTCTCCTTTCCTCTCTGAACTGAATAAAAATATACTTTTAAAAAATAGCTGGGACCCTGGCCGGTTTGGCCTAGTGGATAGAGCGTCGGCCTGCGTACTCAAGGGTCCCAGGTTCGATTCCGGTCAAAGGCATGTACCTTGGTGCGGGCACATCCCCAGTGGGGAGTGTGCAGGAGGTGACTGATCGATGTTGCTCTCTCATTGATGTTTCTAACTCTCCCTCTCCCTTCCTCTCTGTAAAATAATCAATAAAATATATTTTAAAAAAATAAAATAGGATGTTTCTCTCTCATCGATGTTTCTAACTCTCTATCCCTCGCCCTTCCTCTCTATAAAAAGCAAAAACAAAAATTAATAAAATATATTTTTTACAAAGTGAAAATAAAATAAAATAAAAATTAGTTGGGAAGGGCCCTTCAGGAAAATGTGTTATCTTCGTTGCCACCTGAGAAGCAAACACAGGGCTCCGAGGGAAGGCTCACGGTTTGTGTTTGATGGGTGAAGGTGGTTTGGAGCAGGGAGCAGTGCCTGAGAAGGTTAGATCTGGAAAAGTCTGTGTTCAGAGAAGAATGGCATCTAACAGGTGACAGAAGGCAGAGGACTAAAGGAAGGGCAAGCAACATAGCACAGGGCCCCTGCTTGGAAACACAGCCTCAGAGTATTAATATCCCAAGCTCCCCTGGAGGGCTCAGTAAGTGGTGACTATTATCCTCATATTCAGAAATAATGGCCCCCCCCTCCCTGTGCTAAGCATGGTTAGACCATACCTGTAACTAGCACCGCCTCCTAGTTGAGCCACAGCCTCCTAGACCAGGCCTGTATTACTGCATGTATCCCAGTGTATTTCACTTAATTAGGTCTGGGTTGAGGAGCCTGAGAGGCAGGAACCACATCTTTTTTTAATCTTTGAATGTTCCTCATCTAGCACATTATTCACACATTGTAGATGTTGATTAAATGTTAGTGAGCTACACTAAGTGGCGAGGAAATCTCAGCAACTAGTCTTTAGAGAAGTTTGATGGCAAGAAGAGGATGAAAGGGGCCGTGTAAAGAAGTTGAGGGAAGGGAAAGAAGAGTTGCAGAATGTCTAAGGCAGAGAGGGAGCCGCCCTGGATCCTAAGAGTGGACGCCCCTGGAGGAGCCAGCTCTGGGAAGGGTGCGGGGGGGGGGGGGGCTCTGAAGTGAAGGCCAGGTGACGGGGCTCAGGAAGCCAAAGGCAACGGCTTCCTGCAGGAGTGAGAGAGGGCAAGGGCCTGGGGACTTGGGGAAAGACGAGAGCTCTGGACAAGCCGCGGTGACTGTGGCATCTACCTCTTCCAGGACAGGAGCGCCAGCTCAGCTCACTTCACTGACACTAAGATCTTCTGTCTCCGTTTTTCACGCCAAAAAACTGTGGCCACTGTAGAACTCACCCTGAGGGTAAGTGGGAACAGCAGGGCATTCAGCAGCCAGGGAGCAACAATGGCGAATCTCCTCCCCCAAAGAAATCAATAATTCTTTCCATACTCACACTGGATTAGATTTGCATGAAGGATACCCAAGAAGTCATAATTAGGGTGGTTGCCCGTGGGTTGAGGGTGGGAGGGTGAGACATATGGGGAAAGGGATAGGAGTGAGACTTTTTATTGGATGCCTTTTGATATATATATTTTTTATTTTGAATCATCAGAATGTCTTCCCTGTTTTTTAAGTTTAAATGATAAATTTTGAAAAGAAAAAAACTGAAAAAAAATTTGTCTAGAGAATTTTTCCTGGGAAAAAAGGAAAAGAAGTCCCCTTCAGAACTAGAGGACAGCAAAAGGTGTAGCTTCATCTGGTTGCCTTACAAAGGCCTCAGCAACTGGGAAGGCCACAGGCAAGAAAAGTTAAGATAATATTTTCAGCCGAAACCGGTTTGGCTCGCTGGATGGAGCGTCAGCCTGCGGACTGAAGGGTCCCGGGTTCGATTCCGGTCAAGGGCATGTACCTGGGTTGTGGGCACATCCCCAGTGGGGGATGTGCAGGAGGCAGCTGATCGGTGTTTCTCTCTCATCGATGTTTCTAACTCTCTATCTCTCCCCTTCCTCTCTGTAAAAAAAATCAATAAAATATATTTAAAAAAAAAAAAAAAAAGATAATATTTTCATTAGAGCAACCGGGTAAGTTGGGGATCACTTGCACAGAAAGGAACAGAAGACGGTTTCTTCATCTGCATGATGAGAGGCCTGGGCTCGGACACCTTGTTAAACAAAAACAAAAATTTAATTTCCACAGCTGAAAGTCTTCTTTTAAGAGGGTTTATTAGGCCCTAGCTGGTTTGGCTCAGTGGATAGAGCATCAGCCCACAGACTGAAAGGTCTTGGTTTCCATTCCAGTAAGGGCATGGTCCTTGGTTGCAGGCTCAATCCCAGGCCCCTGGCTGGGGCGCATGCAGGAGGCAACTGATCAATGTGTCTCACATCGATGGTTCTCTTTCTTGGTCCTCCCCCCCCCCTGCCCCCCCTTCCACTCTCTCTAAAAGTCGATGAAAAAATATCCTCAGGCGAGGATTAACAACAACAACAACAACAACAAAGGCTTTCTTAGGCCATTGCTAGCATCAAAGAAGACTGGTTCTGGGACACCGAGTTTAATCCACCAGCAGCATGGCTAGGTAGGAAAGACAGCACGCCCAATGTCCAAGAGTTTTTTTAAAATGTATTTTTATTGATTTCAGAGAGGAAGGGAGAGGGAGAGAGGGACAGAAACATCAATGAGGAGAGAGAATCATCGATTGGCTGCCTCCTGCACGCCCCCTATTGGAGATCGAGCCCGCAACGGGGGCATGTGCCCTGACCAGAATCGAACCGTGACTTCGTGGTTCATAGGTCAACGCTCAACAATTGAGCCACGCCAGCTGGGCTGTCCAAGAGTTTTTACAAGCTTTTTTATACATCAAGCAGGGGGAGCAAGATATAAGCCGTTCTGAAAGGAGTTACAGTGGGGCCTTGACTTAGGAGTTTAATTCATTCCGAGACGGAGCTCGTTAAGGAGCTCGTTAACTCAAATTACTCTATCAACTCAGTGCAAAAAATCGGCCGAGAGACAGCTGGTATCTCAAAAAACTCGTTAGTCGGGACACTCGTAAGTCAAGGAATTTTAACTTAGAACATTGCAGAATTTTTTCCTGTCCTTTCCCCCTTTCCATCCAGCTCTTTCAAAGGAAGCATTGCTGACGAATATCTGTATGATTTTAATCATACTCAGATAGTCCTTTTGTGTTCAGGGCATTGTCCCACGTTGCTAAGGAAAACTTATTCCTAGGAGGTCATGTCCCACAGAGAAGAGAAATTCAAGGATTATGTGAGGCGATGAGATGTTTTAGGCCAGGGGTCCTCAAACTACGGCCTGCGGGCCACATGCAAATACAGATATTGTATTTGTTCCCGTTTTGTTTTTTTACTTCAAAATAAGATATGTGCAGTGTGCATAGGAATTTGTTCATAGTTGTTTTTTTAACTATAGTCCGGCCCTCCAACGGTCTGAGGGACAGTGAACTGGCCCCCTATTTAAAAAGTTTGAGGACCCCTGTTTTAGGCAAACTGGTGCAAAAAGAGGGGGAGAGGAGAGGAGAGAAAGAGAGAGAGAGAGAGAGAGAGAGAGAGAGAGAGAGAGAGAGAGAGAGAGAGAATTATCAGGTAACGACTGACAAGGATTTTTAAGAGTTTTCTTGAAGAGGAGCCTTTTCTGGAAAGGTGCAGGTGGTTAGTTCAATCTGTTGGCTGGGGCTTGGTTTATGGATTTACATAACTGAGAACCTCTCAGAACGTTTTTCTTGGCAATGTCATCCGACAAGCTCGAATGCTCTCCTGGTGTTCGATGAGAGTTTTACTTGGTTTGGTATTGCAGGCTGGGTACTGTGCCCCCAGTGCCCGTCACGTTTCCCGGGCTGAGCTTCAGTGTTCCGTCTCCTCTCTCTCCACTCCCTCTCCCCACCCCACACCCTGCTCACTCACAGTCTCCTCTCCATGAGGCTTAAAAATCAGCCCAGTTCGGAGGGAATACGTCGTGCATTAGATCAAAGTCATAGTTACACGTCAAGGTAAACAGAACTGACTACACACACCCTTTGCCCACAAAAATGACAAAAAGGTTTATATCATGCCGGACGGGTGCCATCTAGTGGCCTGTGGTGTCACCCAAGGAACAGCAGGAACGTATCCTTCAGTTTTTGTGAATAATTTTAGGGTTTCTTTCCAGGCTCACCCTTAGTAAAATTGTGAAATCCAAGACAAATTTTCCCATATTTACACTTTATCTTCTCTGGAATTTCCCCCCATGACAGTCAGGTGTAGCAGAAAGAGAGCAAACATTGGAGTCAGGTCAACCTAGCTCTACACCAAATGCATCCCGTGCTGCCTGTGGCTTTAGGATCCGGGCCAGTTCCCCAACTTCCCTGAGTCCCAAGCCCCCCCCCCCCCCCCCCCGCTCTAAGCCACAGGGAGTACAATCTTCTTTACAAAGTCTTCGTGGGGAATGAGTGAGATGAAGTGTACACAGCATTCCACATACAACAGATGCACCCTAAGTATTAGTTCCAGCCTCAAGTTCATCACTACTTTAACTGTAGGACTGAAAAGGGAGAGTAAACTGCTGAGCGCCGGTCCAGGGAAGCACCCAAACAGAGGGGAGACGACCCTCGGGGTGGCAGCAGGAAACAAGGTCGTGCAGAGAACTCGCCGGAAGAGGCGTCAAGGGACTCACGAGATGTGGGCAATGTTACGGAAGCTAGCAAGGGCCATGGAGGCACCCAGAGCCCAGCAGCAACGGAAAGACATTTCCACGCCCAGGACTCATAGGACAAGCAGATACTGTAATGGAGCCTAGAGAGCTCTGAGCTTGGGAAGACGGGCAATCTGACAGGTGCCAAGGCAGCAAGGGAGCCGGGAAGAAATAGCCCCGCCTCTCCCCATGACCTCCAATGTCACTGTTGGCTGCCCCCAGTCAGAAGGCAGCTGGCAGGAAGGCCAGGGCACAGGTGCCAGGGAATGGACTTGAGGAGGAAACTCACAGAGGGTCACCAGGGTGGGACATCATAGAGGACATCAATCCATGCTTTGGGGAAAGAATCAGATTAGGTGATGCCCATAAATAAATTCTAAGGAGAAGGAGGGAGGAAGGAGCAATGAGCCAATAGGTACTGGTTATCTATTTTATTGTATTTACTGTGTCTTTTAACTTTCTCTTGTAACTTTTTCAGCAACCCGGTACAGTTGGTATTGTTATCTTCCTTTTATAAATGAAGGAGAAAAGCTCAGAGAAACCAAATAACTTGCACTGAGACACCCGGCTGGGAAGTAATAGGATTCCACCCTCAGTTACCAGATGCCAATGTCCCTCTACATCAGCGGTTCTCAACCTGTGGGTCGCGACCCCTTTGGGGGTCGAACGACCCTTTCACAGGGGCCACCTGAGACCATCGGAAAACACATCTATAATTACATATTGTTTTTGTGATTCATCACTATGCTTTAATTATGTTCAATTTGTAACAATGAAAATACATCCTGCATATCAGATATTTACATGACGATTCATAACAGTAGCAACATGACAGTTATGAAGTAGCAGCGAAAATAATTTTATGGTTGGGGGTCACCACCACATGAGGAGCTGTATTAAGGGATCGCGTCATTAGGAAGGCTGAGAACCACTGCTCTACATGATCCTCTCCAGCCTGGAATAAAATCCCTTATTCACATATGATAAAGATGTTATTTTAAATCTATAGGAAAGACATAAACTACTGAGCAAATTGTGCCATTTGGGTAGCTATGAGAAAAAGATGGAGTTGGATCCATATCTCAGGCTTTACATTGGATGGGCAGCATATTTAAACATGAAAAATAAAACCATAAAGGGTCTTCCACAATGGGAGAATTAAAAAAATCTTATCAGAGTGGCGAAGCCCTTTCTAACACAAAACCATAAAAGAAAAAAAGAGCGAGAAATTGAAAAACATAGAAATAAAACATTTTTGGCAAAGCACAAAGCACCCTGTTATTATTCAAATGGTTCACACACTGGTGTCCTCAGAGGTTGGCAGGAACGGATTCTCCTGGCACAACGCCAAACCCAAGGCTCCTCAAAAACACTTCCCCCACTGCTCCCTAATGAAATTCTTCCCGTAAGATCCGTGCTTCTCCTTTCACCCCAATGCAGAATGCCTCTGCGGGGTGTCACCCATGACGCTGGTTCTCCTTTGTTATTTACTAACAGGCAGAAGGAGACTGTGCTACACACTCAATGAGGAGATGTCGGCAACACAATCAGGGAAGAGATGTCCAGAAAGGGTTGGCGAAGTTCCAAAATTACCAACTTTTACAGCTTACGATCATGAAAGCCTCTGACTTTTACTAAAATCTCGCCAATGCATCCACCACTCTCCATTCTCTTTGGGGGGCGGGGGAGCTGAATCAGACCAGTGCAGGCCACCGCGGTCTTTGCAGCCTCTGGTCTGGCCCCTGGTGCATCCCAAATGTCTCTCTGCAGAGGATCCTCTCCTAAGTGAAATCTGATCAAATCACCTCAAACATCCCCAAGGGTGGAAGTGCTTTCAAAAGTCCCCCGTCGACTTTAAGATACACCGGAAACTCCTTTGCAGACAAATACGATCCTTCAAGATCAGGTTTGCCTCTCCCCCTTATCGCTCCCAAGAGTAACCCAAACATCTGCAATTCCCGCAACAGAGCTTCCCCGCGGGAAGCAGCAGTCATGTCCCTCTGGCTGCTGTGCCCACTAACTCCTGGCCATTCATGGTGCAGCCGCCATGTCATTTACTCAGGGCAGCTTTCCCACCCTAAGTGCTATTAATAAGGTCCTCAACGCTCCCCCTTTGGCAGTTCACAATATATTCTAATTGATTGTTCACCTCCTACTTCCCTATCCTTCCATCCCTTCACCCCAAGACTGTAGGTAGCTTGAGGTTAGAGATTCTCCTAGTACTTGTTATGACTCAGCATCTAACACATTGGCAGGCATATAATAAGTGTTCAATAAATATTCACTGGATGAGTGAACAACTAAATTGTTAAGAATTGCCCAGCCGGTGTGGTTCAGTGGTTGAGCATTAACCTATGAACCAGGAGGTCATGGTTCCATTCCAAGTCAGGGCACATGCCCAGGTTGCAGGCTCAATTCCCAGTAGGAGGCATGTAGGAGGCAGTCGATCAATGATTTTCTCTCATCATTGATGTTTCTATTTCTCCCTCTCCCTTCCTCTCTGAAATCAATAAAAATATATTTAAAAAAAAGAATTAAACCTATTTGTAGCTCCCCATTGTTTTAATAATTAAGATTTATGCACAATAAATATAATACAATTAAAATTTTAAATTTACAAGCAACAGATTGAAGAAAAATATGTATGAAATAAGGTTTAAAGAGTTTATTTGCCCTAACCGGTTTGGCTCAGTGGATAGAGCGTCAGCCTGCGGACTGGAAGGTCCCAGGTTCGATTCCGGCCAAGGGCATGTACCATGGTTGCGGGCACATCCCCAGTAGGAGGTGTGCAGGAGGCAGCTGATCAATGTTCCTTTCTCATCGATGTTAATAACTCTCTATCTCTCTCCCTTCCTCTCTGTGAAAAATCAATAAAGTGTTTTAAAAAAAAAAAAAAAAAGAGTTTATTTAAACTTCATAGAAAAAAAATCACTGAGGCTTTAAAAGATAAACCAGCCCGGCCAGTGTGGTTCAGTGGTTGAGTGCCAGCCTATGAACTAGGAGGTCACAGTTCGATTCCCGGTCAGGGCACATGCCTGGGTTGCAGGCTTGATCACCAGTGAGGAGTGTGCAGGAGGTAGCCGATCAATGATTCTCTCTCATCAGTGATGTTTCTCTCTCTCCCTCTCCCTTCCTCTATGAAATTAATAAAAAGTATATTTTTAAAAAATAAAAGAGAAACCATTCCCCTTAAAAGGAAATCATCTCAAAGGTTTAATCCTTCTAGTCTAATCCAGTGCTAGTGAACACAAAGTCAAGTGTGGTATCGTGTCTGTCTTTTAATGATAGGCTTGATCTCTCTCTAAAATCAATGAGAATAGGGTAGGAGTGTAGGAGTGTGTAGGGAAAGAAGAAAGGTTAAGGGATGAAGAAGGCACAGGACAGATCATAGAAGGCTCTTAAGTCATCCCCAGGAATTTGGAACAGGAACCACATTAAAAAAAAAATAGAACCTGAAAAATGACGTGATCATTTTGGCAGCTGTGTTAGCAAAATGATTCTGTCGGCAATATGGAGGATATATTAGAGTGTGGAAACATAAAGGCCAGAAGACCACTTAGAAGACTCTGGCAGTAATAACAGAGTTTAAGTGCTTGTGTGTGCCAAGACAAGAAAAAGGGAAATTGTTTTCTAGCTTTCTGGTTTGAGAACTTAGAAGTACAGAGAAGACACGGCAAGGGAGAGGCAGGAATGCCTAGTGATGACACACTTGGTCACTGGGGCTTGTCTTTGCTTCCAGATGTCACTTTTGAGCTGTGGGACTTTGGGGGAAATCCCTTAATTTCTCTGTGCCTCAATTTCATCATTTATAGAATAGAAATAATAGTAATATCTCTTTCTACAGTTGTCCTAAGGGTTAATGAAAGAAATGCATCTGATTGAAAAGTACTGAAATAGTATCTTGAATTTAGTAAGCTTTTTATTTTTTTAAATATATTTTTTATTGATTTCAAAGAGGAAGAGAGAGGGAGAGAGATAGAAACATCAATGATGAAAGAGAATCATTGATTGGCTGCCTCCTGCATGCCCCCTACTGGGGATCAAGCCTGCAACCGGAGCATGTGCCCTGATGGGGAATCTAACTGTGACCTCCTGGTTCATACGGGTCCATGTTCAACCACTGAGCTACGTCAACCGGGCCAGTTAGCACATTCTTTACACAGGTTGCAGTACAATTGACTGGGTGATATTTTTTTTGTTGTTAAGTTTGTTGAGGTGACATTGGTTAGTAAAATTACATAGGTTTCGGGTGTACAGTTCTAGAATGCATCTTCTGTATATTGTACTGTGTGTTCACCACCCCAAGTCAAGAGACTGGATGATATTCTCATCCTGAGAATTTTTTTATTACCATAATTACATTCCATCCTTTGCATCTTCTTAATTTTCCAATTAATTAAAAATCACTTTCAGGGATACATAATCAAACTTAACGAATGTTGAATAAATGTCTTGTCTATATGTAATAATACGTGATCCTGTCCTAGAACTACAAACCTGCTTTAGTTAATATTTAAAATTCCTAACTTTATTTCTGGGTCAAAAAAGACAGAATTTTGAGACAGTCCCTAATGAGGCATTTCGTTTTAAGGTCTTCTAAAACTTATTTCACACTCCCTTAGTCTTCCCCCTCCCTCCTCCCTCTTCAAATCTCGTTTCTTTGGGTGAGAATCTCGCGAGATATTGAGTTCTCATGAAATCTCCCAAGAGCCTCCGCTCTTCCTCTTCCCCAAAGCATCCATAGGTGAGTTGCTCTTCGGCGTCTCTCTCCGAGAGTTGAATCCTCGGGTTATCGCCGCCATCCTGGCCTTCGGGGCGCCAATCTTGAGGCCCCTGAGTAGAGAACTCTCGCGGTTACTGATTTCTCGCTGAAGGCAGTGTCCCCTGTGCTGGGGGAAGTATCGGAGCGCCCGACTTGGCGCCCGGGCCGTGCGGCCCGAAAAGGGGTACGATGGGAGGGGCTGGGGGCTTTGGGAGCTCGGGTAGGCCGTGGTCGGTGCCGCCTCTTACTCCGGAGGTCCAGTGTCCCGCGGTGAGTGGTGGCCTCAGGAAATTGGGGGGCGGCGGGAATGGAGTCGGGTCGAGGCTTTCCTCGTTTTAGAGGAGTCTCAAGTTAGCTGCGTGCCACGCTGGTGGCAGCACAGAAGCGTGGAAAGGCGGCGTCCGTGTGAAGCTGTGCGAGCGAAGGGGGTTTCTGCGGGGCGTGGCGGCTGGGGTCTGCCGCCCCGGGGCGCCGTGTCCTTGCGCCCGAGGGAGCCCTCGTTGCACCGAAACGGGCTGGTTGCCGTCCAGAGAGCAAGGGGGCTGGCGCAGGCCGTGCCGCCCGCCGTGGTGCCGGCACTGCGGCCTGCAGTCACCGGGAGGCCGGAGGGGGAGAAAGCGTGGCTGCGGTGATGGCACCTCTTAGGACACCTTTGGATTCACCGTGAAAACAGCGGTTCTCTGAGCAGCTGCTGGCGGCACTTGGTGCACACTGAGGCTGTAGGTGACTGCCCCCGCGTCCTGACAGTTGCTCCGTCCTCCCTCCCAGGTGACCCCTGAAGATGGTTCGCTATTCGCTAGACCCAGAAAACCCCACGAAATGTAAGTGAACAGCACTTAGTGCGTTTCTTATTTGGGGGAAAGAGAAAGGAGACAACCCGAAGTTAACCGCCGTGCCCTCTGTTTTTCAGCATGCAAATCGAGGGGCTCCAACCTCCGCGTTCACTTCAAGGTATGTGACTCCGTTGTGCTCTAAGAGTCGTGTGGGTGCTGCAGTGAGCTTTTCTTTGACACCGTATGCTGAGAAGGCAGCTGCAGTGATGTCTTTCTTAGGACACCTTTGGATTCACCATGAAAACCAACCAATTCTGAGCAGCCGCCTTCTGGGTGTCGGTCCTGAGTGTGTCGTGACTGTCTTGATGTTGGCACCTTGAGGATTCGGGAACTTCATGCTTGCTTTGAAAATGGTGATGCCTTCGCATGGTTAACCCCCGGTGTGTTTCCTATTTAGAACACGCGTGAAACTGCCCAGGCCATCAAGGGCATGCACATTCGAAAGGCCACCAAGTACCTGAAGGACGTCACCCTGAAGAAGCAGTGCGTGCCCTTCCGCCGCTACAACGGCGGCGTCGGTAGGTGCGCCCAGGTGAGAATGGATGGTTGCTGTTTGAAAAGACCGGTTGTAAGGGAAAGTGACTGGGGGGGATTGCAATGGCCAAGGTCTTCCATCAGGCTGTTTCTGGTTGCTGTGATGACAGTCTTAGGACACCTTTGGATTGGCCGTGAAAAAAACCATGTTCTGAGCAACCTTGAAGTGAATGAAATCAACTGTGTGTTTTTGTTTGGGATTTTGAGAGTATGTTTGCTAAAGCAGGGAACTGAAACGGGAATGGCTTAGGACAGAAGTAGCAAAGGGAGAGACGAGGGCGTGCTGCTTTGCTCCCTAGAAATGTTACCGGAAAGGAGTGAGCCAAGGCAGCGCTGTGGTCACCTCACGGGAGAGACAGAACGTGGGGCGTGGGGACAAGTTTAGGGTTTGGCCCAGGGCAAGCTGCTGCCGCCTATTGCTTCCCTGGTTGCAAGTCTCCGCGGGGTCCCTCAGTTTAGGAGATGCTTGCCTGCAGGGGAAGAAGAGGGAGAAGGAAAAGAGGAAAGGTGTGGGTATGCTCCCAGGAGGGAGAGCTGCCATAAATTGTGGTGGTAACATTTTATTTAAATCGGAACTAACAGCCTTTCTTTGTTTTCTTTAGGCAAAACAGTGGGGCTGGACACAGGGTCGGTGGCCCAAAAAGAGTGCTGAATTTTTGCTGCACATGCTTAAAAATGCCGAGAGCAATGCTGAACTTAAGGTACCCAAAGCATTAACACCTTTATATGTATCCAACTTAGATGGGGGTTCAGTTAATGTTGTCCAGACTTAATATACAAACAATAAGACACTATTGCAAAGAAACAAATATTTAGTTATCAAAGTGGTTGCTTTAGTAATGGTTAATGTGGTTTATTGCCAACACTTTTTAAAAAATATATTTTTAAAATATATTTTAAAAGGAAGGGGGGGGGGAGAAACATCAATGATGAGAATTATTGATCAGCTGCCTCCTGCACAACCCACATTGGGGATTGAGCTTGCAACCTGGGCATATGCCCTGGCCTGGAATCAAACCATAACCTCTTGGTTTATAGATCGATGCTCAACCACTGAACCACGCCGGCCAGGCTATTGCCTACATTCTTAATGGAGAGATGTTAAATTTCATTTAGAAGTTAAAACTGTAGTCAACAAGATAGGTTTGTCTATTCCCCTTTAGCATTTGGAAATCTGGGCCAGAATTAAAAATGTGGGTCTCTGGCTATAACCCACTTTTATTTATATCTATAATAATAATAATAAAAGTGTAATATGCTAATTAGAGCAGACATCCATCCTTCCGGACAAAGCCGTAGCAGGCGGGGGCTGAGGCAGAGGCCCTTGCTCAATTTCATGTGTCAGGCCTCTAGTATATATACCAGGGGTGGGCAAACTTTTTGACTCGAGGGCCACAATGGGTTCTTAAACTGGACCGGAGGCCGGAACAAAAGCATGGATGGAGTGTTTGTGTGAACTAATATAAATTCAAAGTAAACATCATTACATAAAAGGATACGGTCTTTTTTAGTTTTATTCATTTCAAACGGGCCGTAGTTTGCCCATGGCTGATATATACACTGGGTGGCCAGATTATTATGTCCATCCCATCAGTACAATGAAGTGAATTAGTTAGGCAAATAATAATAAATAATAATAATAAAACCTTAAGAGTATTTGCTTAGGAAATTTTCAATATTCAGTATTTTTGGAAGTGTCAATGAAGTACTGATGGGGTGATCATAATACTCTGGCCACTCAGTGTATATTTACTAGAGGCCCAGTGCATGGATTCGTGCACCAGTGGGGTCCCTCAGCCTGGCCTGCTGGGATCAGACTAAAATTGGCTCTCCAACAATCCCAGGATCCCCCAGGGGTCCAAGAGTGGGAGAGGGCACCCTGCAAAGTTGCTGTCAATCGCAGCCCCTGCACCAAGCATCTGCCCCCTGGTGGTCAGGGCGTGTCATAGCTAGGTTGCTTAGCCTTTTATATTTATATATAGGTTTTTAGAGAGGAAGGGCGTGGGAGAGAGGAACATCGCTGTAAGAGTGGAACATGGATCCCTGTTGCCTCTTGCACACCCCCACTGGGATTGAGCCCAAAACCCGGGCATGTGCCCTGACCACGAATCAAACTGGCAACCTTTTGGTGCACAGGACAATACCCAACCAAATAAGCCACACCAGCCAGGACTGGTTATATAATCGTTTCAGCTGCTAAGCCATGCTGCCAAAATCTTGTTTATCATCAAAGCTTAGAAATTAGCACTATTGGTGATCTTTAAGATGCACTTAGCATAGGGCTGAGTTTTGGTAGTTAGGTTTAATTTAAGGAAGGACATTTAGAACCAAGTTTAAAGTAACTGCTTGAACTGATACTCGGCTTAAATTCTTAAGGATTGCTTTTCAAAAAAGTTCGTTAAGGCAGGAACTTAATTTTCCATAGATGGTGTTAAGATAAAGATTTACTGGTTATGTTCTTTCTCCCTTCTTCCCAGGGTTTAGATGTAGACTCTCTGGTCATTGAGCACATTCAGGTGAACAAAGCTCCCAAGATGCGGCGTAGAACCTACAGAGCTCATGGGCGGATTAACCCATACATGAGCTCTCCCTGCCACATTGAGATGATCCTCACTGAAAAGGAGCAGATTGTTCCTAAACCAGAAGAGGAGGTTGCACAGAAGAAAAAGGTACATTTCTTAGTCTTCGCTCAGTTTCAGTTGTGTAGAGTAGATGTGTGGTTGCTGTGATGACTAACTTAGGACACCTTTGGAATAACCATGAAAGGAAACTATTCTGAGCAACCAGCAACCTTTTATTTTATTTTTACTTTCGTGGATCTCATTTGTTTCTTGATTGATACTGAATAGTAACTTTGTACCATTCGGTACATCAGAACTGTGATTGTCTGCTGATAGTCCCACCTACATATCCATTGCCACTTCCAAAAATGCCCCTCAGGCCTAATAAGCCTATATTCAGTAAATGATGACAAGTTAGTGTTGTTTTTGAGAATTGTCTCATACCATTGTAAAGTTTAAGGTGTGCCACATGATGGCTTGATTTAAGTTTACTGTGAAATGATTACCACAGTGGGTTCTCCTAGATAACAGTAAAAGTAAGAAAAGGAGGGGCGGTGTATGGTAAGAACTCTTATGATTTCTCTTCCTATCAACTTTCCTATGTATCATGCAGCATTGTTAGCTAGTCATTCAGTTGGGTAGGCCAGGAAACTGGGAGTAATTCTGAAATCTTCCCTTCACACCCAATAGATTTTTTGTATTGATATTGTCACTTAAATATCCTGTCATTGGAATCCTTAGCTGGTGTCACTGTCTTCAGTGAAAATCAATTTAAACTCCTTCCCTGATTAGTCATACCACATCTCTATGCCAAAGGACTCTTTCCTTTTATGTTTTTTTAAATATATTTTTATTGATTGCAGAGAGGAAGGGAGAGAGAGAGAAAGATAGAAACATCCATGAGAGACAATCATTGATCCGTTGCCTCCCGCACAACCCCCTACTGGGGATTGAGCTCACAAGCCGCGCATGTGTCCTTGACCGGAATCAAACCTGGGACCCTTCAGTCTACAGACCAACGTTCTATCCACTGAGCCAAACCAGCTAGAGCCCTTTTATGTTGATGTTTCCAGTTCTTTCACTGAAGCTAAGACCTCTTTTTAATAAGATGTAGTGTGGATGTTTTTTGGGAAATTTTAAGTCATTTTTATTTTCTTTCCCCAGATATCTCAGAAGAAACTGAAGAAACAAAAACTTATGGCCCGGGAGTAAATTCAGCATAAAATAAATCTAAGTAAAAGTAAAAGCAGAATGTTGGTTGTCTTTATTACTAAATATATTTCAAGTGATAAAACAAGTTTTCTGATTAGAATTTAAAAATAGATTATTCTGTTCTGTCATTAATTTGGGTCATAAACATGCTGTTTTGAAAGTCTTGCTGCTTTTTTGCATAAAATGGGATTAAAACATGGAGTTCTGAAATTTTTTTCCAGCCACTTCATTGAGATTTAACACCAGTTCACCACAGTGCAGTGGATCTTAGTATACTGCTATGAATCGATCACTAAAATCAATTTTAGGACATTGTAATCACCACAGAGAGAACCTTGGCAGTGGTTTAGCTGTTACTCAGCCCTAGGGAACTACTTAGCTATAGATAGGCCTGTGGACATCTCAAGAAACATCACAGGATGTGGCCCACTGGCTTTGTTTATGACAGTACTTTCAGGGTTCATCCATGTATTGTACTTGATGTATAATTTGTATCAATATATTTATTGGACATTTGGGTCTTAAGCTATTGCAAGTAGTGCTCTGTGCACCTTTGTAGGTTTTTGCATGGGCATGCTCTCATTTCTCTTGGGTATGTGCCAAGAGTGTAATTGCCCAGTCATTGGAACAGCCAGACTTTACAATTGTGCCATTTACCATACCCCTTGCGGAGGGTTCCGGTTTTCTCCAGTCTTATACACTGACCTTACTGGGGTGGAAGTGAAGTGGTATAGCCATTTCTCTTAAACAGCCAATTAAGGTTGACAATCCACCCTGCCCTTGAATGTAAGACCCTTGCAACTAGGGGAGAGGGTGGTTGTAGGCACAGCTGCATTTGAAAACAAGCGAAGTAACCGCCCCTGCGGTGGGGAACCATTGGTACAGGCGTCATTTCTTGGATCAACGAGTTGAATTTAGTCTTCCGGGACGGCAGCGCCTGTGCCCGCGCGGGCCTGGGAAGCCCGGCTCCGCCCGCGGCCCCGGAGCCCCGCCCGGCCCCGCCCGGCGCCCCGGTACGTACGCCTTGTGTCGTCAGGCTGACGCAGGCACGCGTGTGTCGGCCCCTTTTGCGGTGTCCATTGGCTCGGCGGCGGCAGCTCCCTCCCTCCGGAAGTGCGGACATTTCCACTTGGGCTTGGTGGTCGCGGGTGAGTGGGGTCGAGGGGGCTGGGGCTCTGGGCCGGGCCAAGGGGGCGGGGTGGGCTGGGGTCCGGCGCCGGCGGGCAGCTCCGGGCTTGGGCCGGGCGGCGCGCACCGAGCCCAGCCGGGTCGCGGCTCCTGCCCTGGGCCCCGCGGACCCCTGCGCTGCCCGATGGGCCCCCCTTCGCCCTCCAGCGCGCCCCTGTCGCCGGCTGCCCCCCTCTCTCCCTCCGGTGCACCCTCCCGCCTGGCCTCCCGCCTGCCTTTCTCTTCCTGTCCGTTTATTCCCTCGGCCCGAATTGTCGGGTTCCTGGCCCGTCTGTTATCTTCGCCGCCATTCGCCCTAGTCCCCCCGTCTTCGCTCTGTCTTCACTCCCTGTCCCTCCCTGTCCCGCTCTGGTCTCCAATACGATGCTGTTCGGTACGGAGCTGGGTTACCAGGGCGGCGCTCCCCTCCACCCGCCCCTTTCCGACGGCCTCCGCCTTTTCTCTCTATTGCACTGGACTAAGTCGAATAAAAACATTTCTCTCCTACAACAGTTTAATCCATTTCGCTCACTTCGTTGTAGTATCCGAGAACTGGTTTGTGGAGGTTGAGTAAAATTATAATTTTATCACTTTATCGTAGCGACCTTTCCAAGCCACCGTTTCCACATGTATGAAGTATAACAACTCATCATCGAAGAATCAGGACGATTTAGAGATGAAATACAGTAGCTTCATTCTGAAGAGAGCAAAAAGTTTGATAAAAGCCATTAGTATGACAAAGCTGATGAGTAGTAGTTGTTCTCGAGAGTTTATTTAAAACACGACGAGCAAGTAATTAAAACACAATTACAAGTAGGTAAAAATGAACCTTTATGATGGAGGGACTGCCAGTCATCAGCTTGCCATTTGTTGGGAAGGATTTAGTTGGTTTTGGAGGTTTGGTAGGGGGTTAATTAGCATAATCAGTGTGTTTGGGGAAGGGGTAGAGACAAGAGCTAGGAAACCGGACCTCGGTTCTGGTCTTAGCCAGCTCTAGTTACTTGTTACCTTTGTGTGAACTTTGGGCAGGTCACCATTTTGGGGTTTTGGGGTTGTTTTTTTTTTGGTAACGATTTTATGGCACTTACTATACGCAGACACTCTACTGAGCTTTGTATGCATATTAATTTATCTAATCCGCATCCCTGTGAGGTAGGTATCCTTATTGTCTACATTTTACACAACAGGGGATTCAGGCACAGACGGGTTAAATAATTTGCCCAAGACCGTATAGAAAGTGGGGGAAACATCTCACATGCAGGCAGCTGCCAGCTTGTCAGCCTGATGAGGCTGTGGTACCTGTGAGAGTGTGGAACACCTAAACCACACCACCTTTTCAGTATCCCAGATCACATTCTAAATGTGTATGGACAAAAATAATGATTCCTTGAAAAACAGTGAAAAAGACTCACCATTCATTTGGCTTTTAAATATTTTGGTAAATTCTTAAGTGGTTACTTTAATTTGACTAGGGGACCTTTTTAAAAAATGGTTATAAATCCTTTGTAAGATAGCTCTTCATTCATTGATGTACATCTGGATTTTTGTTAGTAGCTCTTGTAATGCATTTCAAAGTCATTAAGATTGAATTGTCTGTGCCATTGTTCACTTGTATTGTGAATAATTTTAAGTTGCCTTAGTGTAGTCATGATGAAATTTTAACATCCTGAATTACTAGCCTTATTCAGTGTTCTGAAGCTTCTCAGTTGTTGGGCTTTTTTAAAAAAAATGTTTTTATTGATTTTTAGAGAGAGAGAGAGAGAGAGAGAGAGGAACAGCAATGCGAGAACCATCCATCAACTGCCTCCTGCACAACCCCTACTGGGGATGGAGCCCACAACCCGGGCATGTGCCCTGAGTGGGAATCAAACTGGCAACTTCTTAGTGCTGTTCAACCAACTGAGCAACACCAGCCAGGGCAAAGCGTCTTCATTTTTAAGGCCTACGCTAAGGGATTGAAAATTCTTGTAAATTTAAGAAGTCTTTGGTTTAATAGTATTTTGTGGAAGCAGTATTTGTTCTTTTTCAATAAATTGCTGATTTTGAGAAATTCTAAGATGATTTCTAATTATCAAGGAAATCAGATGTTAATTTTTGCAAATGAACAATTTCCTTATACTAATAATAAACAATTTACTTATATAAAAATAATAAATAAACAAATAAATAGTTTTATTATACGGTACACCTTAATTGCCACTAAAAAGAAAAAGCAGTTATATCAAGGGAGAATTCTTGCCTGGAAAAGGCCAACCAGTTTGCAGCTTAGAGGTCTTGCAAAGTGATATCTTAGAGAGTTTCATATTATAATGTTTGCCCTTAGCATTGTAGGTTTGGCTAATTAAATCATAATTACCAAGTTCCTTAATGTTTTGTGCCTTCCTTTGCTGTATGTGTAAAATAAGATGCAGGGGTACCCGACCTCACTGGGTTTTGAATAAATGAATTATACAGTTGTCCTTCAGTATCCTCAAGGAATTGGTTCCAGGAAACCCACCACCACCACCACCACCACCACCACCACCACCACCACCCCCCTCCCCATACCAAAATTCCTGGGTGCGCAAGTCCCCCATATAAAAGGTGTAGTGTTTGTAAATAGGCTCCAGTATGCCTACACATCACTTAATTGCGTGGATTTAGCGAGGTGCTCTGTGCATAGCAAATTCAGGTTTTGCTTTTTGGAATTTTCTGGGATTTTCTTTTCAAATGTTTTCGATTTGGGGTTGGTTGACTCCATGATGCAAAACCTGGGGATACAGAGGGCCAACTGTATATGCAAGGCATTAAACTGCCTAGCACCTAGCAGATGTTGGTGTCTTTATCATTAAATGTATGGTTGGGGAGCAGTGATTGGAGAGATTTGGAAGCCGGAACGTTGCTGTTATTTTCATGCCTACCACCTATTATTCCTTTACCTTGCAGATAGCAGTATCTTCAATAGGTTCTTGCATTTAGCTAATAGTATGATCTAAGTTTTTCGTTCAAAGCAGAAATAATCCTTTCGAACACCCTAATGTAGCTGAATTCCTCTAGTCATCAATCTGTGAGGAGCTGATTTGTTTCTTCTTTGCGTCTCTCAGCTCAGGAGCTCCCACCTGGGACAATGGTGTGCATTCCTTGTATCGTCATTCCAGTTCTGCTCTGGGTCTACAAAAAGTTCCTGGAGCCATACATATACCCTCTGATTTCCCCCTTCGTTAGTCGCATATGGCCTAGAAAAGCTGTGCAAGAATCCAGTGATACAAGCAAAGGCAAAATAGGGTATAAGGTAAGGACATTAAAATACCTCGACTAGGAAGGCTGGGTGGGAGGGGTTGGTACAGTCAGGGTAAACTATTTGGCTTTTGGAAAGGCAAGTTCTTGAAACCAGAAGCTTCATCAATGTGTCTTAATTTCCTTCTGTTTTAACTGGAGGGGTGTGTGTGTGTTGGGGGGGGGGGGGGGGTTGGCTTTTCCTCCCAGCCTTTCCCGGCCCCTCTTTTTCCTCCTGGGCGACTTACCTTTGTCTTTCCCTCTTTGAAGCTCCAAGGGCTTGTTTCCTGAGCCTGTGCAGCCCAGCTGGCTCACTTCTACTACCTTTATAACTTTCTAAATAAACTTTCTCTTATAATTTGAAAAAAAAAATAAGGAATTTGGGTATTGTTTTTTAAAGTAATTAACAGTTGGTTTAAACTAAAGTTTTAATCTAGGCCTCTGATTAACGCAGTTGCTCCTTGCCAATGGCCAAGATAATAGCCAGTATTTCGTGGCTGCTGAGAGTCATGGTGACTAGCTCATGGGTGTGAAGAGATGACATGAAAAAAAGCCAGTTTCCCTGGTTGATAATTTTGGTGGGAGACTTAATTTAGGAGGATCGTAGAGTTTATTTTATTTTATATTTTTACACAATGAAGTTATTATTTTTAAATGACTATTTAGAGACAACCTGTTGTTTTTAGCAATATGCTTGTTACGTTCAACTTCGATTGTGTTCAACTGCACTAAGCCATCCTGCATAATTCTAGAAGCAGTTTTTTCATTCTGAAATTTGTCGACTGTTTTCAAAGAGAGTATCTCTTATGATGAGTGTCTCGTAATAATCTCTAAAATGTTTTTTCATTTTAGGGTGCAGACATAAATGGATTACCAACATCAGGATCGACAGAAATCTCTGATAAAAAGAAAGACTGAAGGCATTGACCCAGGGACCTCCTTGTTTTCAAAACGGACCTAATAATGTGAAGCACCTTCTTTGTAATTGTCTCTGACCTTTTTCTCTTAGAACTAGGGGTGGATGGTTTAGATGTTTGTCTGATGCTGATCAGGAAACATATGGTATTTATATTTAGAAAGTATTTGGTTATAGTTAATGATCTCATTCCCGAGTTCCTTTTTCATTAACGTAGCAGTAACAGTATGAATGAATAGGTTTGTGCCAGTAAACATTGTTACTACATCAGTCCCTAAGCATCCTTGGGCTTCTAGCTTCTGTTCAGGCTCTTTGAATTTGAGTGGAGTGTGTTTTCACTATGAAACAGTACAGTGAGACTGGGCAGTGAAATAAATGAAAGGGAGTGTTTGGAGGTGATAATGACTTGAAACATAAAGTTATAGTCACTGCCCAACACAATGGAGCCCCCTATCTGCAAGAGTAGAAATTACAGGTTTTGCTCCGAAGAAAATAGCAACGACAAGACATTGAGGAAATTTCTTTGGGAAAAATGGTACAGTTTTTACATAAATGTCTAATGTATATTATAAAATTCTAATCTTTGTTGCATTCCTTCTATTCCTACAGAATGTATTAAATATTCAGTTTAGCTTGTGGTTGGGGTTTGGCTTTTTTCTTTTTCTTTTTTTTTAAGTTTAAATATTTCTTAAAAGGGACATTTTTCACCATACCAGGAAGCAGAATTATAATAGCGTGCTGGCATCTGGACAGTTCTGAGACAATAATATATTTTTTAAAGTAGATTGTATCAGTTATTTATTGTTGCATAAGACGACACTCCAAAACTTAGTGGTTTTCAACAACAGTGACATGACTGCACAGTTCTTTGCTGGTCTGGGCCTCTATATGGCCTTTCACTCTGGGATGCTTCACTTTAGGGACTTACAGTGTTCAGGGGTGATGAACCATATCTTTATATCATATTTACTTATTCCCTCTGAGGCAGGGAGTGGTTGGAAGAGTCTTCTGCCTTTGGGTCCCCATTGAAGTCCTGGGTCCTAACCGAGGCTCTGTTACACTCTACGTGTGAGCAAGTCAGTGACTCACCTGGTCTTCATTTCGTAGAAATCAGTAGGTTTCAGGTATTCTGCCCCAACCCACCTGAGGGATAAGATAAATTCCCTTTAGCAACTAAATTCAGTTGATTAGTTTGTTGTATAAAAACTATATTACAAAAATAGCAGATGTTCATAGTAAAACAGTGCAATGGAAATTTAAATGAAAAGTTCATGTTCTTTCACTATCATTCCCTCTCCACAGATGTAACCACTGTTAGTTCTTTTGTGTAACCTTCTAGCAATTTTCTTAACATTTGTTTTTATTAAATATATCTTTTTATTTTTTTATTGATTTTTTACAGAGAGGAAGGGAGAGGGATAGAGAGTTAGAAACATTGATGAGAGAGAGACATTGATCAGCTGCCTTCTGCACGCCCCCAACTGAGGATGTGCCTGCAACCAAGGTACATGCCCTTGACCAGAATCGAACCTGGGACCTTTCATTCCGCAGGCTGACGCTCTATCCACTGAGCCAAACCGGTCAGGGCAAAAAATATTGCAAGATGTATAATGTCTCTACTCCCTTAGTCCCCAAAGGCTTTACTCATTTAGCTGTTGCTTTTGTCTCATGTTTTATCTCTGTATTTCTAAGTTTTCTATATATTGCCATTTTTGGAACTGTCAACTTTCCACATTACTGACTTCCTTCCATGGCTGAGATATAGCTGTCTTACACTGTGTTTCCTCTACTTCTCCCACACACCCTCCGTGTAGGTTTGTGTAGATATTGGTTAAGTCACTAATCGGTACTTACATCAGGAGGAGTGTGCCGCACGCCTTCCACTTGCCTCTCCAAATCTCTGCTCCTTTCACCTACTTTGCTGCCCAAGAAAGCTACATGGACTCTACCGACAGACTTTCCATGGCCTCTGCGTTCTGTTGGGTCTGGCCAGTGGGGATCTGCAGCAGGGATGGGAGGGAGGAGTGGGGTTAGGGTATTTATTCCCTTGGTTCAACCCTTCTGGGTCTCTTAGACCAGGTGTGTTCCTCAGCCAAAATGCACTCCCAGGGGGCCCACTCCACATGACTCCCTTCAGTTTCCACTAACCTCTCCCCCTCCTTTCCTTTTGGGCCTAGAACTCACGACTGGCTCCGAGTCACTGCTTTGCTTCATGCCCTCACCCTTCTTTCCTGTGATTAATGTTGCAGTTTTACGTGTTACATGTGTTTGCAAGTCACCTTCAATACTTTTAGAAAGAAGGGTCTCAACAAACCATCATGAATCCTTAGCCCCCGCTCTTTCCCCTTTACTGCATCATCTCTGAACGGAACTTCTGGAATACAAGCAAGCTCTTGGTGGCTTGTCCTACATACTGAGTTTACAGTCATTGAATATCTTCTAGGATCCTTTTCATATGAACTGTATACTACTTTTGTTTGTTTGTTTGTTTTTTAGTTTCCAGTCTACAGCATTTCAAATTAAGTGTTACTTATTTTTTAATGTATTTTTTTATACAAAATTCAAAAGGTATAAGAGCGTACACAGATAAAGATTCCTTCCTTCCACCCTGGTGCCCAGGCACCTGGTTCCCCTCCTAGGAGGCAGTCAAGGTTACCGGTTTCCTCTTTTTTCTCATTTTTTATTTTAAGTTTCTCTTTATTTCTTTCTTTAATTGCCTTTATGTACAGATGTCATTTTAAAAATGCACATACACCCGATATTTTCCAAGGAATAGGAGCTGGAAATGAAAGCTCAGGGCAATCAGGAGAACTGAAATTGCCCCAGAGAAGTTCTGAGGAGCACACTTCCTTAAATGCCCTTCATGGCCTCTCCAAGTTTTTCCTGTGCACCTGGGGAAAGTCTGACCAGGCTGCACAGCGGCTAGCTCTGTGTTAATTGCATTCAGCTTCTCCTCCATTGCTTGTTTGAGGATGATGAGTGAAGACGTGATGGCTTCTTTCAGAGTCATAGGCTTGTGGTAAACTTGCAAGGAGCTCTGGGCACCCTTTGAAGCAGAGCCAACTGCTCAAGCATCTCACTGGACAAAGGTCCCTGACGGGCCCTATGAAACAGTGGAGGTCCCTTCTCATCAACTCCTCCAATAACAGTGCCACTCTGCAGGGACGAGACATGGCACCCAGATCTGCACCTTCTCCAAACGGTAGAGCCAGATTGGACACGGCCTGGGTCACACTCACCGTCACTGTCTAATTGTAGGTGAGTCAATGGTTCCGTGTCTCCACTCTGGCTTTCTCAATTACCGTAAAGCAGTGATGGCGAACCTATGACGTGCGTCAGAGGTGACACCCGAACTCATTTTTTTGGTTGATTTTTCTTTGTTAAATGGCATTTAAATATATAAAATAAATATCAAAAATATGTCTTTGTTTTACTATGGTTGCAAATATCAAAAAATTTCTATATGTGACACGGCACCAGAGTTAAGTTAGGGTTTTTCAAAATGCTGACACGCCGAGCTCAAAAGGTTCGCCATCACTGTCGTAAAGCCTTCGCAGCAGCAATTAGCCCGTTCATGGCACAACCTATGTGAGCATCACTCTCTACACCTCCTCAATGTTGCTTGGCTCCATGAGCGGGGAGGCAATTCTCTTCTCCACAGCTGGGCACACCTCCTGGGGTGTCTGGATCCCCATGGCTGCCGAGCAAGCTGGATGGCCTCAGTGGCATATTCCACTTGAAAGAATCTTCCTTCAGGAGAAGAAATATTCCCACCGCTGTGGTACTCAGACCCAGTGAGGAACATGGCGAGGGTAGGAGAACGTGCCAGCGACCACATGGGGATTTTGAGGGCTATCACCGGTGCACAGGTACCCAACTCCCCCACACAGCCACAGAACTAAGGCCCTCCCAGGTTCTTTATATTTCCAGAGATAGTCTCTGCATGCACAAGCAAATACATACAGGTGTTATTGTATTTTATTAAGACAAAAGTAACATACCATATGCACTGTTTGGTCTTTTTTTCCAATTAAAAGTATATCTTGAAGATCAGTAGATACTAGGACAGGGGCCCTCAAACTTTTTAAACAGGGGGGCCAGTTCACTGTCCCTCAGACCGTTGGAGGGCCGGACTATAGTTTAAAAACTATGAACAAATTCCTATGCACACTGCACATATCTTATTTTGAAGTAAAAAAACAAAACGGGAACAAATACAATATTTGTATTTGTATGTGGCCCGCGGCCCATAGTTTGAGGACCCCTGTACTAGGTTGTTCACTGTCTTTATGTTTTAAAAACACTATATTTACTCCTAAGAACACACCCTTAAAATATGAGGCAAAAATTGCCAGAATTGAAGGGAGAAATAGATAGTTCTACAATAGTCAGAGACTTTACTACCTCACTTTCAATTATGAATAGAACCAGACAAGAAAAATAAGGAAATAGCTTGAATAACACAATAAGCCAATTAAATCTGACAGACATACAGAACAATACCCAACAACAGAATACATATTCTCAAGTGCATGTGGGATATTCTCTAGGATAGATCATATGTTAAGCCACAAATCAAGTCTCAATAGATTTGAAAGATCGATATCATATAAAGTATCCTTGATCACAATGGGAGGAAGTTGGAAATCAATAACAAAAGTATTAAAAATAACAAAAGTAAAACTAGAAAATTTACAAACTTGTAGAAGTTAAACAATAAACTCTTGAAGAAATAAAAAGGCAAATTAGAAAATATCTTGAGATAAATGAAGCGAAATATATAACATACCAAAACCTATGGGACACAGTGAAAGCAGTATTTAGGGGGGAATTTATAGCTATAAACACATTAAAAAAGCAGGAAGATCTTCACAACTTTCAATTTAAAAAACCAGAAAAGAAACCCAAAGCTAGCAGAGGAAGGAAATAGTAAAGATTAGAACAGAGATAAACAAAATAGAGAAAAAAATAGAGACAATGAAACCAAAAGATGACTTTTCAAAAAGACCAACAAAATTGACAAATCTTTAGCTAGACTGACTAAGAAAGAGAGTAAAGACTCCAATTGCTAAAGTCAGGAATGGAAGTGGAATTATTACTGATGCTACAAAAATAAAACGGATGATAAGAGTACTGTGAACAATTGTTCACAAACAAAATGGATAACCTAGATTAAAAAAACACACACACATTCTTAGAAAAACAAAAGCTACCAAGACTAAATCATGAAGAAATAGAAGTCCTGAAGAGACATGTAATTGGTAAAGGAACTGAATTAATAATAAAAAAAATCTCCCAACAAAGAAAAGCCCTGGACCTTATGGCTTCACTAGTGAATTCTACCAAACATTTAAAGGAGAACATCAATCATTCTCAAACTTTTCCAAAATATCGAAGATAACATTTCCTAACATTAAAAAAAAAAAATGACATTGATATGCATAAGAGATAACCTGTATCTCTTATGCATATCAACGCAAAAATCCTCAACAAAATACTAGCAAACCAAATTCACCACATAGTTAAAGGATTATGCCCTGCCTATGTGGCTCAGGTTGAGCATCAACCTATGAAACAGGAGGTCACGAGTTTGATTCCCAATCAGGGCACAAGGCCAGGTTTCAGGCTGGATCCCCAGTGGGGGGCATGTAGGAAGAAGCCAATCGATGATTCTCTCTCATCATTGATGTTTCTATCTCTCTCTCCCTCTCCCTTCCTCTCTAAAAATCAACAAAAAGACATTGGAGAAAAAACAGGAATTATATACCATGGCCAAGTGGACTTTTCCTAGAATGCAAGGACGTTCAGAATGGAGGGAGAAAACCCACATGGTCATCTCAGTTGATACAGAAAAAAGCGTTTGATAAAATTCAATACCCTTTCATGACAAAAACACTTAACAAATTAGCAATAAAAGAAAAGTACTTCAACATAATGAAAGTATATGTGAAAAACCCACAACAAGCTTCACAATAGATCAGGAATAAGGCAAGGATGACGGCCTTTGCCACTTAAGATAGTACTGGAATTTCTATCCAATTAAGCAAGAAAAGGAAACAAAAGTTATTCAAATTGGAAAAGAAGTAAAATTATCTCTGTTCACAGATGATTTGTAAATAGAAAACCCTAAAGATTCCACAAAAGACTGTTAGCACTAAAAAATTGAATTCAGCAAAGTAACAGAATAAAAAGTCAACACAAAAATCAGCTGCATTGTTATACACCAACAATTAAATATCTGAACAGGAAATTAAGAAAATAATAACAGAGAGAGAAACCAAGATGGCGGCATAGGTAAACACCGGAGTTTGCTGCCTCGCACAACCACTTCAAAAATACAACTAAAGGACTGAACGGACATCATCCAGAACCACAGGAAGGCTGGCTGAGTGGAAATTCTACAACTAGAAGGAAAGAGAAAAGCATACCGAGACTCAGAGGAGGCGCAGTGCGGAAGTAAAATACTAAGGTACAGAGGCGAACATGGAGCGGGCTGGCGGCTGAGGGTGCGGTTGTCGTTTTCAATCGGGAGGGAGTCTCAGGCTCTGAGCTCCAGTTCCAGGCAAGTCTCTGGGGACCCAGACTCAAATGGGAGAAGCGGGACTGTCTGGCATTGGTCAGAACTCAAGGGCAGCTTTCTCTCAGAGGGGCTTACAGCGATTACTGGGACATTGAGAAGCGAAGCCTCTGAGGGCAGCCATAACTGCTAGCCCCGCCCTGTTGTCCCATGGGACCCGCCCCACCCAAACCCTGCAGGGAGGCTTTTGCTGGATAACCTAAGGCAAAGGCTAGATTAGCACCTCCCTAGAGATCCAGGAGCCAGTGTACCCAGAGGTCAGAGTGGGACCATCCAGTTTGCAGCTCCGTAGAAACATAAAGGACACACTCAGGGGGCAGACTCAGTGAGCACCAAAGCCCCATTGAAGCAAGTCTTGCCCTGGAGGGGTGTCTCCAGCACAGAAGTTCTCCCACTGCAGACACAGCTGATTCTCATAGCCGATTGGCCTGGAGGTCAATTCCTCCCAGTGATAACTATAACAATCAAGGCTTAACTACAACAAGACTGTGCACAAAGACCACAAGGGGGTGCACCAAAAGTGTCCTCCTCAGGTAATTGGGGAGGCTGAACCACTGGGCCCTAGAGGACACTTAGCATAGAAAACCACTTTATCAACACAGGGAAGCATAAAAAATGTGGAGACAAAAAGGACACAAGTGATAGAAATGGAGGAAAGCAAACTACTGGATATAGAGTTCAAAACCACACTTTTAAGGTTTTTCAAGAATTTTCTAGAAACTGCCGATAAACTTAATGAGACCTACAAGAAATCTAATGAGACCCTAGAGGTTGTGATAAAGGACCAACTAGAAATTAAACATACACTTACTGAAATAAAGAATATTATACAGACTCCCAACAGCAGACTAGAGGATCGCAAGAATCAAGTCAACGATTTGAAATACGAAGAAGCAAAAAACACCCAACTGGAAAAGCAAAATGAAAAAAGAATCCAAAAATACAAAGATAGTGTAAGGAGCCTCTGGGACAGCTTCAAGTACACCAACATCCGAATTATAGGGGTGCCAGAAGATGAGAGAGAGCAAGATATTGAAAACCTATTTGAAGAAATAAAGACAGAAAACTTCCCCTACCTGGTGAAAGAAATAGACTTACAAGTCCAGGAAGCACAGAGAACCCCAAACAAAAGGAATCCAAAGAGGACCACACCAAGACACATCATCATTAAAATGCCAAGAGCAAAAGACAAAGAGAAAATCTTAAAAGCAGCAAGAGAAAAACAGTTAGTTACCTACAAGGGAGTACCCATACGACTGTCAGCTGATTTCTCAACAGAAACTTTGCAGGCCAGAAGGGAATGGCAAGAAATATTCAAAGTGATGAATGCCAAGAACCTACAACCAAGATTACTTTATCCAGCAAAGCTATCATTTAGAATTGAAGGTCAGATAAAGAGCTTCACAGATAAGGAAAAGCTAAAGGAGTTCATCACCACCAAACCAGGATTATATGAAATGCTGAAAGGTATCCTTTAAGAAGAGGAAGAAGAAGAAAAAGGTAAAGATACAAATTATGAACAAATATGCACCTATCAACAAGTGAATCTAAGAATCAAGTGAATAAATAATCTGATGAACAGAATGAACTGTTGATTATAATAGAATCAGGGACATAGAAAGGGAATGGACTGACTATTCTTGTGGGGGAAAGGGGTGTGGGAGATTCGGGAAGAGACTGGACAAAAATCGTGCACCTATGGATAAGGACAGTGGGTGGGGAATGAGGGAGGAGCGTGGGGTGGGAACTGGGTGGAGGGGAGTTATGGGGGGGAAAAGAGGAACAAATGTAATCTGAGCAATAAAGATTTAATTAACCAAAAAAAGAAGAAGAAAATAATTACATTTACTATAATATCAAAGAGAACAAAACTTAGGAATTAACTTGACTAAGAAAGTGAAAGACTTGAGACTATGAAAACCAAAAAGCTTGCGGGTTCGATTCCTGATCAAGGCACATACCTAGGTTGAGGGTGCTATCCCCAGTCAGGGCACGTGTGGGACACAACTAATTGTTGACTCTCTCACATCAGTGTTTCTCTCTCTCTCTTTCTCTCTTTCTCCCTTCCTCTTGCTTTAAAATTAAGCATTTAAAAAAAGACAAAACTACAAAACTACAAAATATTATTGAAATAAACTGAAAGAAATGAAAGATGCTACTTATTATGGGAAAGACATCTTATATTCATGAGTTGGAAGACAGTAACAGAATATTGTTAAGATGTCAGTATTACCCAAATTCAATACCATCCGTATTAAAATCCCAGTGATGTATTTTGCAGAAATGGAAAAACCACAACAATCTTGGAAAAGAAGAGCAGAGTTGGAGGATGCACACTGCCTGATTTCAAAACTTACTACAAAGCTGACGTAACCAAAACAGTGTGGTACTGTCACAAAAACAAACATATAAGTCAATGAAACAGAATAGAGAGAAGAGAGGGATTAGCAATAAACCTTTTACATATGGCTAACTAATTTTTGACAAGAGTTCCAAGACCATTCAATGGGGAGAAAGAAGTCTTTTCAACACATGGTACATAGAAAACTGGGTATCTACATGCAGAAGAATAAAGTTGGAGCCTTAGCGAATACTCTATAAAAAAGTTAACACAAAATGGATCAAAGACCTGAACATAAGAGCTACAACATAAAACTCTTATAAGAAAATATAGGGGAAAAGCTTCACAACATTGAATTTGGCATGATATCTTGGATGTGATGCCAAAGGCCCAGGCAGTAAAAGAAAAAATTGCAGTTTTTTGATGATAAAACTTTTTGACAATATTGCAGTTTTAGACCTGTTAACTGCCTCCATCAAAAATTACTTTCTGAAAATTAGCCCTCAGTAAAAGGGTTTGAATAAGAACAAAGTTAGAAAATTTAACAATGGATAAAATGCTGAAAGTGCTGTTCTCCAATTTTTCAGCGCCCTCCAGGGGAATTGCTTGACTTCGGAATGAGTATTCGGTTGGAATGAAGAGGAGCGTTAATAAAGTTAAGCCACCAGAATAAATGGTAAGGACTCCAGCACCAGAGAGGCCTAGCCGCTTCTGAATTTTGCCACGTGGCTATGCAGTTGCCCTGGAGGCGCTGAGGGTGGTGGCGGGGGGTGGAGAAATGGGCGGGTGGGGCGGGGGGGGGGGGGGGCTGGCGAAACTACTAACCCCTGAAGGACTACATCTCCCAGAAGTCCGCGCGCCACGCGCCACGTGATCACCGGCCGGTGCGCGCCCTGCCGTTCGGTTCCCAGCTGCGTTCTCGGACGCTTCCCTCTTCTCTCCCAGCCTCCGGGCCTCCGCACCGACGCGGCCCGGGCGGGAGCCGAGCCGGAGCCGGAGTCGCAGAGACGCGGAAACATGGAGGCCTGAGCCTCTGCCACTCGCTGGTCCGTGAGCTGGAAGCGGATCTCCCTGCCGGCTGAGACAGGTGGGCTAGGAGACCGGCCGGGCCCCCAGCTCCTTGGCAGAGCGGATTGGGGGACTCCCTTTCCCCTCCCCCGGTCAGGTCAGGAGCTGGGGGCAGCGCCGCCACAGAGGCGGAGTAGGGGCCCTTCCAGCCAGTGGGGACGGGCCCCGGGAGAGGCTGTGCCCCAGGCCCCTCCCTCTGCCCCGGGATACCGGGGCGCTGAGGGCGGAGCGGTGAGGGGGTGTAATCCCGGGAGTTGGGGGGGCTCCCCAAGAGCAGGTCGGCCATTCGGGAGATCGGTCTGACAAACGGGCGTGTGCTGGGCAGGGCGGGCAGTAGTGTTTACTTTTTCTTTTTTGACAAGTACATTTTTATTGAGACGTAATTCACATACCATTCAATTCACTTTTAAAGATACAGTTGAAGTACAGCCCCGTGGCGTTTAGCATATGCAGAGGGGTGTGCAGCTGATTCTACAACACTTTTATCACCCCGAAAGGACACCATACCCCATGCAGTCACTCCTCCTCCCCTCCCCGTCCCCTGACACCTGGCGATTGTGCTTTAGCTGCGGGGGAGAGTGGGGATTAGCCCAAGTGTTTGTGAACGATGGGGGGGGGGGGGGCGGGCCGGGGGTCGGCAGTGGGGATTGAGGGCAGTGGGTGATCAAGCTGATAGGATGAAAGTGCCGGAAAGAGATAGAAAAGTGATAGGATGGATGTAATAGGGCCAGCAAAGGGGTGCACGCGAGAGACTGACTAGCGGGGCAATTGGCGTGGGATTCTCGAAAGGGGAGAAAGGAGGTCGGAGGGAGAGGTGTGTAGTGAGCGAGAAGGCACGAGCTGAAAGATAGGAAAACATGGGGGGGGGCGGAGGGGGTGCAGCGCAGGGCAACCTTACACAGGAGCAAGGCATTGGGCTGATGAGTTGAGGGTCAAGAGAGGCACGGAGCTAGAGAATCCGTAGGAATCGGTGAATGGTTGCTGGCGACCAAATATTCCCATTCTGCAGATGAAGTCTCTTGGAGGTGAGGTGACTTGCTGAATCTCATAAGGTTACTACACAAGGAAGAATGAGGTGAGGATTAAAGAATAATTGATGAAACTTTCAGTTGCAGGTGGATTGCATGGCAGAGAATTGAGGTGGGGCAATGTTACAGGAAGGAGATGCAACTATTAAGTATATCAAGAGGTCTATATTATTTGATGGGTCAGGTCTTTGTTCTTGTACCCTTTGAATACAGAAAAGTTCAAGCAGTGGAATAATATACCCCCATGTAGCCATTCCTCAACTCCAACAGTTAGTAACTCAGGGTAACTTAGTTTTATCCTTACCCCTATCCATTCATATCCCTACTCCCAATTATTTTAAAGCAGATCATCAGTATACCATTTCATTTATAAATATTTGAGTATACTGTATATCTGTAGAATAGTTAGTCACTCTCTCTTTTAAAAAAAAAATACATCTGTATTTATTTCATTGAGGAAGGGAGAGGGAAAGAGAGATAGCAAATTCAATGATGAAAGAGAATCGTTGATCGACTGCCTCCTGCACATCCCCAGCTGGGGCTCATGTGCCCTGATCAGGAATTGAACCATGACCTCCTCCTGGTTCATAGGTCGATGCTCAACCACTGAGCCACGCTGGCCGGGCCACTCTCTTTTTAATAGACCCACAATACCATTATCACACCTAACCTTTAATAGTAAGCGCTTAATATCAGTATCTAGGACTTATTTTTTAAATATGGCATTTGTTTTATACAAGGGAATAAGCAGTGCAAACACTTTGATGTTAGACGCTGAAAAATAGAATTGTTTTCCTTTTTGTTTTTTTTTAAATCCTCACCTGAGGATATTTTTCCATTGGTTTTTAGAGAGAGTGGAAGAGAGAGGGAAAGACAGAAATATCGATGTGAGAAAAACACATTGATTGGTTGCCTCCTGCACATGCCTCAACCAGGGCCTGGGCGGGGGAGGAGCCTGAAACCAAGGTACATGTCCTTGACCGGAATCGAGCCCAGGACCCTTTGGTCCGCAGGCCAATACTCTATCCACTTCTGCCCAAACCAGCTAGGGCAGAAATGCAGACAACCAGGCTGGTTGGGGAGAGGGGCGGTAGAGGCAGAATAGGTGAAGGTGGTCAAAAGGTACAAACTTCCAGTTATAAGATAACTAAGTCCTCCGAATGTGATGTATAGCATGGTGACTATAGTCAGTAACACTATATTGCATCTGAGGCACATGCCCCGGCTGGAATTGGACCCAGGACCCTTCAGTCCATGCGCCAACGCTTGATACACTGAGCCAAACCAGCCAGGGCTGTTTTCTGTGTGTGTGTGTTTTTATTGAGTTCAGAGAAGAAGGGAGAGGGAGAGAGAGCTAGAAACATCAATAATGAGAGAGAATCATTGATTGGCTGCCTCCTGCACACCCCTCACTGGGGAATGGAGCCTGTAACCCGGGCACGTGCCCTGACCGGCAATTGAACCGTGACCTCCTGATTCATAGGTTGACGCTCAACCAACGGGCCACACTGGCTGGGCTCTTTCCAGTTTCTTATTCTGTCATCCCTAGGGTGTGGCCCTTGATTTCTGGGTCCAGGATGGCTGCTGGTGGTCTTGCTAGTATCCAAGCAGCAGGATGGAGGAAGGGACAGAGAAGCGGCTGAACACTCTTAGGGAAGTTCTGTGTAATTCAGTGATAACCAATACTTAGTCATGTGATCGTTCTGGCTGCAAGAGAGGTTGGAAATGTATCTGAGCTGGACAGGAATGTGCTCAGCCAAAAATAGGGAGTGTTACTATAAGAGAGGAAGGTCTGGAGACTGAGGTAGGCAATTGGTGTTTCTACCATACTTCATAATTAGTTTCTCTGTGAACTCCAGACTAACCTACACGCTTCCCAGATTTCTAGGTTTGAATCCTAGTTGTGTTATATATGTGCCTTGGTGTGTTACTCAATCTTTTTGAGCTTTAGCATTCTCAACTGTAAAATGGAGCTAATATTTACTTTAGATGCTTGTTAGGATTAAATGAAAATATTTCTTATGTATCTGGCAACATAATACTAGTACACTCCAAATACTAGTCTTTCCTTCTCCTCCCTCAGGTTTCTGGACTTGGATATCTGAATGGGTAGAGTGAAAAGAGAAATTGGAGATGGATAGGGGAGGATACGAAGTTCAGTATTGGGCACATTGTCACCCAGAGGATGATGTATGGTAGGCAGACAGATAAATGGTATGTCACCCGCAAGACAGTTCTGGACTGGTCATGGATATTTTGAAATCATCAGCGTACAGGGGAAGACTTCACTGATCTAGAAGACTCAGGGATGTATACAACTTTAGAGTTACAATGGGCAAAGTAGAAGGCATGTCCTTGAGTAAGTCTCCCCATAACGCAGTGGTTCTCAACCTTCTGGCCCTTTAAATACAGTTCCTCATGTTGTGACCCAACCATAAAATTATTTTCGTTGCTACGTTATAACTGTAATGTTGCTACTGTTATGAATCGTCATGTAAATATCTGATATGCAGGATGGTCTGAGGCGACCCCTGTGAAAGGGTCGTTCGACTGCCAAAGGGGTTGCGACCCACAGGTTGAGAACCGCTGCCATAAAGCATGAAGCAGCAGCTTGCTTTCTGGCCTTGTTTGCTTCCACTTTGATTCTCTCCCACTCCAGCCATGTTGAACTTCTTTAAATTCCTGGAATGGGCCCTATCTGTTTCTGTCTTACCCCTAGGCCTTGACACATGCTATTCTCTTCACTTGGAAAATTTTCTGAACCCTCCAACCAAGACAACCCATCTTTCCCTTCAGGTCTCAGCTTTTATGGCATGACTCCTGGGAAGCTTTCACTAAGTCTTGAATGGTTGCCATATTATCATTTCATGTCCGCTTATCTGTTTCTCTTCCTCAACTATAAATAAACTCCACTCCCAGTTTTAACGTTGCCATTTAGCATTGTGCTAGCCACATAGAGGGCACTCAGGAAATATCAACAAGACTCCTGGTACTTACTTACCATAATATGATATCTCTTCAGTAGTGCTAGTTTGTTTTGCAACCCTGCACTGTTCTTTTAGTGTTTGCACATTGAGTTGTTTATATGAATCAATGATTGTGAAATAGTAAAGCACATTCTCCCTAATTTATTTAAAAGTTAACTTTTCTACTTAAAGTAATACTTGCATATTGAGGTAATACTAGAAAGTATATTATAAAAAACCAGCAGTATCCTTCTTTCTTCATCTGGGCCTCAGAGGCAACTGCTTTTAACACATTTCGTATCGTGTTTCGCGCCATCTGTTAAGGACCGCTCACGAGTGTTCTCGTTTTTCACGCCCGTGGAGAAAGGAGCGAATCTAGATACTTATGTAAATTTTATTTGGTCCTTCTTCATAGAGGAAAATGTTTTACGCAGTACCATACGTTAAAAAAGTACTAGGAACTTTAATTGTTTAATTGTTTTTGTAAATAAAAACGTTATAATTATTGAAAAACAACACCTAAAGTGCATTATGATGATTTAAATAACTTGCAGTTTGCCCAAAAACGTGCGGTCCCTGGCATATGTCTTAGAGATTTCTATGCGGTACGCAGTGTGTTAACTGTGTTTATAATTGTCTAAGTGTCTATTTTGTGATCTGTCAATTTTAGATAATACCCATTAACTCCTTGTTATGGTAAATGCGTGCTTGACCTCCTCCTTCCCCCACTTCTGGGCTTTCCAGTACAGATAATCCTCTCCAATAATAGCCAAACATGGTAATTGACCATACCTTCGCTACGCCTCCCATTGGCTAATCAGCGAGATATGCAAATTAACTGCCAACAAAGATGGCGGCCAATTGGCATACTGCAGGCAGGGTGGGACAGAGCGAGCCGCCATCCAGGCCCCTGTGGGCGACGCCACAAGCCGCTTGCCTGCTGCCCGGGACCCGATCCAGTCCCAGGCTGCAGGCAGGCCGGCCCTGCAAGCCCCAGAAGCCGCCAGATATGGCAGTAACTCTATCAGTAAGCACTCTGACAGTCAGTGGCATAAATGCACCAGTTAAAAGACAGATTATGAGGGTGAATCAAAAACAAAACCCACTTTAAATATAAAGACACATATAGATTAAAAGTAAATGAATTAAGCTGCAGCCTGTTTTGCTAAGTGGATAGAGCATTAGCCCTTGGACTGAAGGGTCCCAGGTTAGATTCCAGTCAAGGGCATGTACCTTAGTTGCTGGCTTGATCCCCAGTCCCTATCAGAGCATGTGCAGGAGGCAACCGATCAATGTGTCTCTCCCTTCCCCTTCACTCTTTCTAAAATTCAATAGAAAAATATTATTGGGTGAAGATTAACAAAAACAAAGTAAATGGATTAAGTAACATTAAAGAAATTATAAGAAAAATATAATCCAAATTTTGTTAGTTGTATAATGGTTATGTTTAAATTATTAACACCCAAGAAATTGGGTGAAGGATACATATAATATGCTGTAGTATTTTATAGTTTTTTTTACATGTATGAAATTATTTCAAATTAAAATATTAAAAAATTAAAAATTAATAAAATATTAATTGAAATGTATCTGCATTACATGAAAAATCTAATTGCTTCTAGCATAATTTATTGTGCTAAAATTTACAAGGGTTCAATTAAAAAATATCTTAATTCTAAATGATATAATAGAAAATATATATAGTGCAGTTATAAGCACTTATCTGAAAATAAAATTTTTTTTTTATTTTTTAAAAATATATTTTATTGATTTTTTACAGAGAGGAAGGGAGAGAGATAGTTAGAAACATCGATCAGCTGCCTACTGCACACCTCCTACTGGGGATGTGCCCGCAATCAAGGTACATGCCCTTGACCGGAATTGAACTTGAGACCTTTCAGTCCAATTCTCTATCCACTGAGGTAAACCGGTTAGGCTGAAAATAAAAATTTAAAGAAGTGAATTTAAAGAAGGGATTAGCCAAAGAAAATATATGCACAACCCATGGACACAGACAACAGTATGGTGATGGCCAGAGAGAAATGGGGGCAAGAGCTGGGTAGAGGGGACAAAAAGGGGGA